CTCGGGGTCAGTTGTGCGGGCATGTTATGCCGCGATTTAAATCGCGGCAACTGGGGCATCCGAAAGATGTCACCAGAATCATGTGTGGAAGAGATCGTCGTCATCGACGCTGCAGATTGGGAGCCACAGTCTGCACCACCAGGCTTTCCTCCGAGGAGGAAGCTTGAAAGTTGGTGGAACGGGATCCACCGCAGTGACCCCTCGACAACAGCATGGTTGAGGGAGCAAATCGAATCCCTACACCGAGACCACCGGGCATTGGCTCGCACTTTAGTGGAGGAACTCAGCCGAAGCGATGCTGGGCAGTGGGTGGTGGCTTCACTCCATGCCTAGCGAGTTCTCTGCTTTTCGCCCCGAGACGAGATCTGCTTGCTCAGGTCGAGCCAATGTCTTCACCAGCGGAGACTGGGAACTCCTCAGCAAAGACCCACCTCAAGAAGGGGGCTGAGGGAGGTGGTCCTCGACCTACAGAGCCCACCTTTTCAGGGGGCCAAGGGAGGTGAACAGCTTAGGCCAAGGCCGGCTTCCTAAACCTCACCGGCAACGGGAGGCACAGGGCCAAAACCTGAGGCTGCTTCAACCTCGCCAGCAAAGCCTGGGAGGAGGGCTAGACTAGGTCCGAAGTAGCTCCTCCGGCAACCTCCCAACAGGGATTGGGAGGAACGGGGGCTAGGAAGTAGGCCTAGCGGAGGACGCCTTAAACAAGGCTGCCCTCCTCCTTTTGCTGTCAGAGTACAGCCCAGACCGAACTTGCCGCTTCGGCGGCCGCGACTCAGAGCGCAAGACCGAGAAAATATGTAACACTACCTGCGGTATGACAGCATAGAACCAGCTTCTGCAGTACATGAGGGCATGAGCTTTGGAACGGAGTTTTGTTTTCTCCAAACGATGTGCAGTTGTGGTGCATGTGAAGACATGAGCATGTTTTTGCCACGACGTGAGTTTTTAGCCTTGAAGAGTTTTGTCAGCGAGAAGAGTGTGATATGCAAGCATATCACCCGAGTTTGAAAGCTGCAGTCCGCGTTTTGTCTGCATCAGGAATGCAGAGCTCAAGAGCTGTGAAGCAGCGAAGTGTGAAGCCGCAAAGCAGGTCAGCAGTAGTGCAAGGACAGAGTCACGACACCTCTCTTGCTGTGAGTGCGAAAGTGCTGTGCAGGCTGTGCGAACTGTGCTAGTGTTTGTAAGTTTCTACAATGGGGAATGGCAGGAATGTGGTGGCGGATACCCTGTCGCCTACCTCTTGCCGACATCCTCGCTAATTCGTGCCAAAGGATCAAGGAAATGCTGCAGTTATGCGATGCTACATTGGCATGCGTCTATGTAGTTGCCGGTTCGCCGTGTCCGGATTTGACCTTTGCAGGCTATAGTAAGGGCCACTTAGGCCTTACAGGGTCAAGCAGTTCAGCCTTTTACTATGTGTGGGCAACTGTGCGCGCGCTTCAGACTATCCTGTCGTCAACGGTCACCATTCAGCCGCTTGTCGAGGATGCTGGCTCTATGAAGCCCATTTTTCAGCAGCACATTGCTATGTGCCTTGGGCTCCCTCAGGGTGCACACTCTATTGCCGACGCCGTCGATTTTGGCAAGGTTGCATCACGCAAGCGTTCTTTCTTCTCACGGGCCATGCAACCTGTTACGGGGATGTCACAGTGGAAGATTGCAGCAATCCGAGATCATGCTGACTCTCGAAAGGTAGCCGGACCAAAAGGTCAGAGGTTGCACTGGGCTCTCGAAAAGAAAGTGCCTTTCCGACTCATAACTTTGCTCCTCTGAAGAGCGTCCATAGTGTGTACTCCTTTCTATGGCCCAAGCACCTTTGTATAATCGCCGTGCCCCTGGCAAGAAAGAAGGGCTCGAACATTCGTCCGTGGCCCTGTAAGACTGGTGCCTCTCGGATGGCGCCATGGTGGATGCCCACCCGGGACACTATGGCGTGCCCCTGGATTTTGCATCACTGGACCGGAATGTATCGCTCTCAAGGGCGCCAGCCGCCCTGTTGCCGCTTGTCAATGATAACCACGAGTTGCACCTGGCCTTTCAGCAACTGCACCTGTTCCGATTTCCAGTCTTCAGTGACTCGTTTTTTTGGCGTGGGCGGGCCTCGTCGACTACGGCTGTAGCACTCGGTCCCAGTAAGAAGTGAATGTAGACAAGAAGAAAGTCTTCAGTGACTCGCCCCACATGCAGGTCATGGAAACGATCTTTCCGAAGGCGGAACTTTGCGAACCCACAGGAAGCCTTGCCGAGCGCCCCCTGCACTGAGCTCGACGCGCCTCAGCCGCCTACGACGGAGGCTATACATCGCTTGCGCCTTCACAGAAATGTTGGCATTTTCTTGATTTGTGTGGGCTTGCATGCGGGCATCGCTTGCCGCATCCCTCGGACGAGCAATGTCTCGCGCTGCACTGCAATTTGAAAGTGTTTGCAGTTCGCACTGCGTATTGCCGGTGCAGCGTCGGATCCTGCTCTCGAAACCGGATACTCAGTGTTTTGTGCCAGGAGAGAAAAGAATGCGAGAAAGGCAGCTGTTTGGGCGACAAGCTGGACTCCAGTTGCTACAAACCTTCGCTTCGACTTTATTTTGCGAGCTGCTTGTGCAGTGGAACAAGACGTTAAAGGCTTACAACACGCAGATGTGGGAATTGGACATCAGTTCATGAAGTTTGATGATCGATCTCTTTCGCAACGTTTCGGTCTTTCTCTTGCTGAAAAGACATTCAGAGTCTGGAGTGGGACAGGAAATTCAATTTGTGATGTCAGTGTCCATACACATCCAATCCGCCTGCTTCAAGGTTGTTCACGTTGAACTTTCTGCCTTTGAGTCCGGTTTGAGTGTCTAAAAGTCATTTTCCACGCTTTCCCTGTTTTTTTCATGTTGTTCGGAGTCCACTTTCGAACTCTGCTCTTTGGGTACGGTTTTGGTGTCTAAAAGCTTCGTGTTCCACGCTTTCCATCGTTGTCAGCGACAGTGAAGTCTCTACCAGCAATCGTTGGTGTCTTTGACAAATTCCACCTCAGTGTGGAGTTTCTAGTGCTTTGTCCTTCCAATACGCAAATCCTAAGACTTAAAAACAAGGCAGTTTGTGGGGCCAGAATCTCTCATATATTCTCAAGGTGGTTTGTGGGGTTGGTACGGCATGGTTTTGTTCGTGCTCTGCCTCTGGGGTGTGATGCGTGGCTGGACTCTCGACCAGTTTGGAAAGAGCGGCGGGTGTGGATGTTTCGGCCAGGGTTGGTGAGCAACTGCAATGCACATCGTCACATACACGATTGGCTCAATCCACAAACACTACGATTACACGGGTGTCAGGACAACTTGGAAAACGTCGGTGAGCTTCATGCTCTGCCAGTCTTTGTGTCCTTCTGTTTAGCTGTGATGCCAGTTTGATCGTTTTTTCAAGTGCAAGCACATTCTCCATTCTCGCAATTTGCAGCGAGCGTTTGTGACGACCTGCGATTGTTTTAATGCTCGACTTAGCTCTCAGATGCTTCGTTAACCGCCACTGCCGAAAAACGTTGTGTTGCCGAGTGCTTGAGATAGGAGCTGAGTAATCGGATGTGGGCCTGACATTCATATGCAAGAGGCTGGTTTGTTGGCTGAAGTAATTCAATGTTGAGTCTTCGTAACTTGGACATTTGATGATGCTCTTTTGAATTAGGGAGCTCAAATGTTAAGTTCCACATCTTTGCATTCTGTTAGTGGACATCGTCGTGGTTTCTAGATTCGCCGCTGATGACCAACAGAACTGTTATCGATATGTTTGGGATTCCTTGGCTCAGGGAACATTCCAACAACTTTGGTTGACTCTAACGCCAAAGTGACCGAACCGCACAGCTGTTTGGGCAAACGCCAACCACAGCAACACGATGCATGATGTCAGGAAGTCCTGGTTACGTTTTTCACATCCCATCGAAGTTTCCTGGGCCAGAGTGCCACGGCAGCTGCCATGCCCCAAGCCATGAACGAGGCCAGGAGATGTGCTGCAAGTTTTGGTTTGTCGTTGCCCTGCACAGGCGGGACTTTTGAACTCCATGCCGTTGGAGGATCTCAAGGCTTACGGCCTATGGCATGAAATCGCGAGAGGATTTGAGATCATTGTTGCGTCAAGAAGCCTCGTCGAGAAGCTGCAGTTTGGCGTGGGCTTTCGCATGTTAAGCAGCCAGAAGCTTGTAGGAAGTGTTGCCTGTTTTCCAGCTGCCGTACATGTACCTCACTTCCTTTCGTTTGCATGGCAATGTTGTGCTTCATGCAGGTGACCTGCGAGCGCTTGGAGCGCAGCTGCCAGGCTCGATGATTCGCAGCTTCGCAGATTCGTTGTTCGGGCAACTCCCGAGGAGGTTGAGACATTCTGCGACTCCAAATAGTAGCCACAGAAGCGCCCATCTTGGGCCATCTCCGATGGCCTCAGGACATGCGATCTTTGTTGAGTGAGTTTGAAGAGGAGCAGGCCAGGCCGAGCACGAGAAAAATGCGGAGTTTCCTCGAGAGGGGCTGCATGGGTTGGTGACTGCTAGCAAAGATTTCCCGGCAGTGCTTTGGAATGGCTAGAGTTTTAGATTCAGTGGGAGAATGAATCGTGTCCATACATGAAGGCGATGCTGCGCCAAGAGCAGGACCGACTCCACAAGCTGCCACGCTGCATCCAGCCAGTATGCTGAACCGGTTGAAGGTGCAGAGGTCCTGCAAATGCGCTGAATTGGGACAAGCAGATTGGGATCGCAGTAGGAGGCAAATTGCATGGGACTAGATCCCCCAAATGGATGCTTATATACTTTGGGCCCAGGATTGGAAACTTATCTTGGATTTACCGGTAGACTGGCACATGGCACTCTTCTTGCTCGTGGTAGTTGAGTGACCTCGCTGAGGCGCGTGGAGAAAGCACAGCGGAAGGTCAAGGGCCGACAGGACCGAGATTGACTTGCCAGAAGAGTTGCAGAACTGACCCCATGGTGTATTCCACGAAAGCCAGGAATGGTTTATCGACAATCTGCTCAGTGACATGGAGCACTTGGAGGCCGTCTTGGATGGCCGATGAGGGGGACAAGTGACTTGAAGTTGTGAGACAGAGGTGCGACTCATCTCTTGTGAGACTGAGAAGGTTTGTTTGGTCAGGTTGCTACTGGTGCTACATACTTGGATGCCAAGCCAGCAAATTCTTGTTGGAAGGTGTCGAACTTGCTGTCAAGCATCTTCCGTGCTAAAGAAGAACGAAAGGCCAGCATGAGAATGCATGGTATAGATTTGAGAAGTTCATGAGTTCACACACGGGCGATGTGCCGCAGGTACATGTAGGCGACAGGCCGAGGAGACACGATTTGCTGAGGTGGCCAAGAGGCGGCGATGGACTGCTGCCGAAAGTCCAGGCACTTGGGGCTTTTCGCTAGACTCAGCGTGGGGCATAGACTCGTGTCGCGTGATGACGTGGTGATTGGTGCCGATGTCTGACAGGCGGCAAGCCGACCATGCCGGAAAATCTTCAGGACTTCCGCCAGAATCGACCCTGCTGTCATTTTGCATGGTGTCTGCTGGAAGCAATCTGAGCGGAAGCAAACACGCTGGCGAACCCTGTTGCAAGGACGATGACCTTTCCGGTCCCTTCAGCGATGTCAATGCCCACCACACAGCTGAGTGGGATGTGACATCCGTCGCGATACCGTCGGACAGTAGGCGGACAAGCATGAACCAGCAAGTAGGTGCTCTCAGTGTTGGTTCTCACACGGGTGCCAAACGCGCGCAATTCGCACGGGTGTCGATGCGAGTTCGTAGCCCTAGCCTCAAGTGTGACTTCGCTCTCTTCATAGGATTGCGCCGTCGCGGTCTGAGGTGCAACTTTCGTGGGCCTTCGGTCTCCAGAAAGGTGGGCCCCGAGCTCAGACGGGCCTGGCAAGCGGAAGTAGTGCCATCGCTCCTGTTGCCGAAGATTCGCCAGGATGTCTTGCAGTGCCACAAACAAACACCAAAAAAGCAAAGCATAATCGGCGGGTGATGGTGTAGTGACTGTGGTGTGTGCAGGATGCAACCTGCCGAATTCGGCACGGAGGCTGCAGAGCTGCAAAAATGGGTGGCTCCCCCAGCGGCCCAGCAGCCCAGCGGTGCCTTCAAAGTCCTGAACTCCGATGACTCTGTTATCTTCCGAAGGTTCGAGAGGTCATGTCCGGTGACCCCGTGGCCCGCATCTCAGAGGAGAGAGTAGGACAGAGTAGTACTAGCGGTGGAAGCGGTCAAGACCTCAGCCTCAGCAGTGGAGGTAGAGAGTCCTTTGGTCATGTGGCCTGCTGGCCTGCTTCAGATATCTTCAGATCGCCTTTAGCGTGGACTCCTGGTGCTTCACGACTGTAAGGCGGAAGCTGAAGCGCTGCCCGATGCCATGTGGGCGGCACAACTGGCCTTTTCCCCGTTTCTGTCGCAGTTTGTTGTATGAGTATGAGCCAGTGTGCTGTTCTGTCGTAAAGCCCCGCGCTGCTGTGATCTGCTGTGGTTGGTGCACGTTGCCCCAGCTGCGACGGGGCCCTTAGGCCAAAAGAGCCGTGGAGTCGTCGTCTGCAGCCCAGCGTGCAAAGTCTTCATATGCTGCAGCCGAACATGGCGCTGGCCACTCTCCGTTCTCCGTTCTGCGCAGGCCGCAGAAGGTGCGCCACAGTCCATCCTCCAGTCCCAAAGCTCCAGGCCTGGTGCTCAGTGGCGTGCGAAGGGGCCACCTCTGATCTAATATGTTTCGTCTCTGCGAGGACCTGGGATGGGCTATGCGGAGCCCGGACACCTAGTCGCCAAAACTCTTCGTAGGCTTGTTCTCCTGGAGACGTGGTGAATGCAAAAGCAGATTCATTCCATGTGCTTCGGCTGCCTTCCCAGGCAGCCGAGTCCGACCGCGGTTGTCAGGCCCGGGCCCCCCACTCGTTCAGGTGACATGCAGAGAGCAGGAGTTTAGGGTGCCGAGGACTTGTTCTGTCGAGTTCCACGCCTTGCGAGCTCGACGCTAAGGCCGGCCATGCGAGCTCCACGGCCGGACGGTGAGGCAGAGCTCGCCTTTGAAGTTGCTCAACCGTTGAGAGGTGGAGCTTGGATGCCAGACATCGGCTCGAGTCCGCTACAGCTCTGGTCGGCTTGCCTTGACTCTGGTGCCCATGAAGACCGCTGCGCTGGCTTTACTTTGCTACCCGGCCTGGACTAAGACAGCTTGGTAGAGGGATCTCGAGAGGGCCGCATTTGGAAATGTGCGTGCTGCTCAGGCTCGCTGTACGGCATCCTCGCACAGGAGCTCCGTGGAGGGCGTCGTGCTGCTGGTCCCGAAGCGGAGCACCTGCTGCCGAAGCCCGCTGTGACCGTAGCACATGGCCTGTATGAGTCCGGCTGTGAAGTCCCTGGAACGGGAACGAAGCAGGTGGCCCGTGGTCCTGGAGGATGTGTGAATGCCCAGCCAGGTTTGGCCGGTTTCAAGAAGCAGCAACAAACAGTGATGTCCTTTTTGGTCGAGCCCTGTGGCTTAGTGGCACCGCATTTGCATGCTAACTCCGTGGAGATCAACACCGTGATCCACGGAGCTGGCGTCATTGGGCAGCTCACCACCGACACAAACGAGCTTGAGCTGTCAGAAGTCAGCGAAGGTGACTCCTTCTTCTTTGCACAGGCGGCCTACCATTGGTGGGTGAATTTGGGTGAGGAGCCTCTCATTACGATTGGTGCCTTCTTCAACACCGACGATCCCGACACAGCACTGGTGGGCTTTGATGACGGCGTCGGGCTGGTTGGCACCCTGATGCAGGACATGCCGCTGCTGAACACCATGGTTGGTCGGTCCAACGGCCGCAAGAACACGGTGCCGCTAAAGGAAGGGGAGAGCCCTTTGTTTCCCAAGCTTACTCCTGAAGCCTGCGCTGCGGCACGCTCAAGCAACCGGCGTGCAGGGAAAGAGAGCTTCCAGAAGAATCCGAGCGGCACCAACATGTTCCAGCCCGGCGAGCTGCGCTCGGGCAAGTTTGGGCTGACGGCAGCAGACACCCCTGTCTCATGCCCCAAGCCACCCTGCGGAGGAGGACTGGACGATTCTTTGTGCATTCCTAGGCCGTAGACCCCGAACTTTGAGTTTGTGCCTGTGAGGACTACGGCCGCTGGCCGGAGAGGTCGCCAGTCGCAGTGCCCGGGTTGCAGAGACGGCCACACCGACTGTATCGAATGGCAGTGCCCACGTCGCTTCATGTCACATCAGGCGAGGGTGTGGCCGGCACGGCATCTTCACAGCCCAGCTTTGATGGAGGCTTTCCGGGGGACGCAGCAGCTCTAGTTTGTTAAGTATGAAAGAGTCGATTAACCGGGACAGCGCAGCGAGTCAAAGCGCCGAATTCGCAGAGTTGCTTCAGCTTGATGCCAGGCCTGTCTTTTACCGCCAACGGCGGCGGTCCTCCCCCGCCTGCATTTTGGCCCGGCCTGACCAATGTGGCAGGCCTCTGCATGCTTTTTTGTCTTGTGGAAGTCTTCTTTGTGTTGTTGTGTCACATGACTCCACCAGTTGTCAGCTCGTGCAGGAGGTAAGTCGCTGGTGAAGTTTGTCGTCTCCTACTGTGGCATCGTGTCTGCGCATACCCACCCAAACGCCGCGGAATGGAACACGGTCATCAGTGGCGCAGGTCAGGTGTCTTACTACCGGATGAACACGGGTGATGCTCCACAATTAGTGACCATGGATGTGAAGAAGGGGGACACCTTTGTGTTTCCGCAGGGCACTGTGCACTGGTGGGTGAATTACAGCCCCACTGAACAGCTGGCCACAGTGGGTGGATTCTCTGCTGCCTTTCCTGACACATCCCTGTTGTCGGAGCTCTTCCACAAGACCGAGGAGGCTTTCCCGTTTGTGAACGATGCCGTGCTGGGCGAAGACTTCGTGCCGTCTGCTGCTACAGCAGGCGGTAACCTCTTCCCTCTTCTTCCCAACCGTCAGCCTGCAAGCTGTGGTGGCGACACTCCATGCACCTCGTGCGTCTAGCTCCAGCACTAGCAGACCTTTTGCCCTGTAAAGTTGCACTCTCCAACATGTGTGTACAGTCTCATGATGGAGTTCGTAGCAGTGCTGCCCGGCGGTGGTGTAGCTCCGTCCACCTGTACAGAGACGGCCAACAGAGCCAGTCTTAGCTTGTGTCCGCTTGAAGCGAAGTATGTCGAGCGGGAGTTGACGGTTGACAGATGTGAAGCTGTAGGCCGCGGTATAGTGGCTGAATGTCTCTCATCACGCGCTGTCGTCAAAGCTGCTCCTCCTCGTTGGCGCTCAGGTTTTGAAGTTGTGATTGTTGTCGGTCGCCAGGCATCTCCCGAGCACAGTGGAGCTGAGGCGAGGCATTTTTATCGGTAATTTAGGGCTTGGGGTGCTTCGGCTGCTGCAAGGGTTTGGGGTTGACCCTCTGCTCTCGCGCAGCGTTCGCCCCCACCGGTGCCAAGCTGGCAACACTGCATGGTAAATGTCAATATTCATTGTAAGTACAAATCTGCCTGAAAATCGAAGTCGTCGAAGGTCTTTTTTTTCGAAACCTGCTTGCGCAACATGCAGGGAATCAGCATCGAGTTGAAAGTGACAGGCCATTTCGGCAGACGCGCACAGACACAAACCTGATGACTAGCAATATGCAAGGTAACAGCATCGGTTTAAGAGAGAGAGGCCATTTGGCCATTTTATCCGTTTAGCAGACTTATAGGCGTTCAGAGCCAAGCGCCACCAGGACCTGCACGAGCCTTGTTGTGCCAGTGTGTCCACGCTTCGTTTGGATCCTGGTTTTCATGGAGGTCGACGCTTGGTTCCAAGCTGATGCCCAATGACCAAGCTTGCAAAAAAACCGGAGACACGCACAGGACTAGCAATGCGCTGTGCTTTAAGCAAGATTTCCGGCCCGAACTATTTTCAAATTTCGCTGAGTATTTTCTTCGGTTCCAGACCAGGCCGACTTTCCAGCAACTCGACCATTTTTGCAAAGAACACTGATAAACAGTTTTCATTGAGCATGCTGCTTCGGTTACAGACCAAGGTCGCGATATCCGCACCGCGGCCAAATTTTCAGCCAGATTTTTTTGCACTAATTTTCATTGAAATTTTTGCGGCAGTCCCAGGCCGGTGCCGAAATTTTAGTGCCACGGCCAAACTTTCAGCTAGGGTACCGCACAAATTAATTCTCACTGAAAATTATGCTTAGCTCTGGTACTTTCTTCTCATCTTTTCAGCAGAAGCATGTCTATTCTGCAAAAAGGTGCTAGAGCTGGGCTTACCTCTAGTAGCTTCTTTTGAAGAGACTTCCGATTTCGAAAATTGCCTATACATGTCTTTTGCAAAAACAGGCCTGGAAGCAAAACACAATTTTCAGGAAACCTGTCGGGTTTAGGGGTTTAGAAGGGTTTAGGGGTTTAGAAGGGTTTAGGGGTTTAGAAGGGTTGAGGGGTTTAGGGTCTAGGGTCTAGGGTTCTAGGGTCTAGGGTTTCTAGCAGGAAATCTTGACACAAAAATCGGGGCGGAAAGCTTACGCAAAGGAATTTGGAAGGTTGCGCTGGTCCTGATGTGGAGCAGAGGCAAATTTGCAGCTAAGCTTTTTTCTAAGAGATGATGCTGGCTGGAAGTTTGGCACCGGAGATGAATCCTGGTCACCTGGTCCTGATGTGGAGCAGAAGCACCCTTTCGATGAAAAAATGTACAAATACTTCTAGCTGAGAACCTGGCCGTGGTTGTGAAAATCCTCCCTTGGTTTGGAAGCGCAGCAGGACATGAATCAGAAGCAAGTCTGGCCAGAGAAATGGTCTTGGTGCTGAGGTGCTCACAGCTTTAACAGCGATTTCAGACGTTTTCTGCGTTTGATGATCAGCGATTTTGCAAAATCATAATTTTCAGCTGGGAGTTTTCATGTGGCTAGTTTGGGCGAGTGCAACCATGCAGGACCCGAGTCACTTCGATACTCTGGTTGGCCTCGTGAGCAACGTCGCAGGTGCCTCGCGCAGAAAAACCAATCCTTAGTTGTTCTGCATGGAGAGGTGCCTGCGCGAAGGCTCGAAGACTCGGCAAACTAGGATACTGAAGTGTCGTACTGCTGCGTGCTGCGTGCCGCGTGCTGCGTGCTTGGTGCTTCGAAGCAGGTCACCAAGTGGCCCAGCAGATGGAGCGAAGCTTCGAAGCCGCGCAGCAACTGGCGCAGCAGGTGCGGAGTTTGGGTGGATGGGTCCTGGTCCGGTGCTTTTTGCCGCCTTCATGTGCATCTTGAAGCCTCTTGGAACCCTATTGGCAGCTCAAGCCTTGCAAGTGGTCTCTGAGACGTTGTCAGACATTTGACGCGCTTGCTGACTCAGAGGCGCGTGCTGCTTCGAAGGTTCGCATGGACGGACGCGGCAGCATGAGCCCCTGTTGCCAGCTTTGTTCCTCTGAGGCTCTGCTTGATATGCTTGAATTGCTCGTGTCGTTGTCCCGTATCTTCACATGTCTTCACCCCTCGTGCTCAGCTCCGGGGAGCTTCCAGTAGGCCGCGGGCATGGATTTTCCTGAGGTGGGGCAGACATGCCAGCTGCCCCGACTTTCTCCAGAAGACTGCAGGAGGCTGGGATGAACCTCAACTCCGTGCTCCGCCGAGAATGACTGATGTTCATGGCTTAAGTGTCATCAGGATGCATGGTAGTCTCATCTTTGCTACCGCTCTTTCTACTGTATGATGATGATTCTTACAAGCAGTATTGTGATAGTTGTCACTTTTCGCTACAATTGTTGGTGCTGTTAAGCTTGCAGCAGCATTGCTACCCACGGGCGATCACAGACTTGATGATGGTGATGATGGTGATGGTGATGATGATCACGACGATGTCTAAGACCCCTTCAGGCTACGAGATACTGTCTACGGACGCTTGCGCTGCAGAACTGTACAGATGGTGACGATAATGCTGATGACGACCGCTTGGCATTGGAATGATAAGTATTGATACTGGCGTTATTGAAAATTGAATCGTTGATGACAGTAGCTTTGTGACACTTTGTTGACTTGTGCGTGCTAAATTGTATTTGCTCTTGCTCTGGCGACTATTCCTACTATTTGCGCGCTTATGCTTTTTTGTCTATGTGACCATTCCTGGTGTTTGAGTCCTTTAGCACGTTGTTGTTATGTCTCGTACTTGCACGATCACATCTAGAAGCGGCCAGAGTCTCTAGAGCAATTGTTTTCCATGTCCTACATTATCTATTCACTTGCTACTGCTGTCATGGTTCGCTAGAGACCCATCATGCTTCCCTGCTCTTCACGGCGTACTTTTGCTTCATGACGACGGGGCTTTGCTAGTTCGTATACCTGTCCTCACCATTGAGCGTTATCAGTAGCAGGCCGGAGCCGTCATCAACTTCTTCGCAGATTGGGCGACAGGTATCCCTCCCGTGTTGCGGGCCAGTGGGATCGAGTTTGGAGAGGGGTGGTGAAGGGAGTCGGTCGGGTCAGCGGCTTCAGAAGCCGCTCAACTCGTCGAAGCGTGGCTGCGAGAAGACCTGTGAAGCTACTGGTCCCCTAGCACGAAGACGCGAGTCTGCAAGTCCATATCCGTGGGCGTGTCAGCAGGATGCCATGTCAATGCGGCTTTTTTTCTGTGTGGGGTTCGTACCTATACTGGAGTCACTTGGCGTTGTCTGCAGGCAACGCTGCCGACCCTTCGCGAGAGGGCGAGGCTTTGAGGGTGCAGTGTCCGGTTCTGCCGTGCATCGCCCCAACCGCCCCAACCCCAAATCCCCGGTCCCTGATCCCTAAATCTGATGCTTCAGACTTTTGGGTGCAAGAAGACGGAGGCGTTCAAAAACAACCTCTGAACCCTAAGCCTAAAGCATCTCTAAACCCTAAACCTTAAGCTGTTTCCCGTTTTGCCAGGGCGAGGAAGTGCCCGGGGCTCGGCATCTTGGCACCCATGCAGCGGCTGCAGCGTGCCGCGCTCAAGAGCGCTTCAGGTATGGCTTTCCCCGATCTTTGCCACCTGACAAGGCCAGCCAAGACAACCTTCCTTTGCCACCGTTCCGATCGAAGCATCACTATGGTATGGTGATCATCGGTATTGTTGGAAGACCCTGGTAGGCTCACGCGACATGAATTTGGCCTCACATGACTCAATTCAACCCCCGGAGCTCGACCAAACTAAACATGTCAGCTTGATGACCTGCTGAGTCTTGGGAACTTGTGTCGCGATTTATCAGAAGCGGAGGTCCCTTTTCAAGGGTCCCCTACTCTTACGCGGGGCTTTTTGCCGTAGGTTCCATATTTGTGCCATTGGGAGTTTCCGAAATAGGGGATCCTAATATAGTACCCTAAATAATAGGATCCTCATTAGATGGGTCCCAAAATAAGGTACCCCTATTTTCGGAAACTCCAATTTCGGGACTCTGAAAGCTCCGCTGCGTCAGCCCGAGGACATGAAGGAGAGTGCTGGAGGAAACGCCGAGCCGGGATCTCGGACTACCGCAGCTATCATGGCTGTTCTGTTTTGCCCATTCTTAATAGTTCTGTTTCTTTGAATTTTGTTATTAGTACTCGTTTACAGTTAGGATTGTGATTGTGACGACCTGTGATGATTGTCATCATTTTCATTCTTACTGTTATTCTGTTTATCAATATTGCTACTGTTAGTACCATTGTTGCTCTTTCATTTTCGTACTAGTTGTAGTATTGTTGTTTTGGAACTAGTCTTAGTACTGTTGTGACTGCCTATGGTATGGCTAGTCTTTGTACCAAACCCAACCAACAACAAGGCGCATCAAGTTGCAGGCGTATATGACCCTTGGAGTTCCAACGGAAGGTTTCCTGTGTGGAGCAGCAAGCAAACATAGAGCACCCCAAACCCCAAAGGTAAACCCTAAAGCCTAAACCCCTAAGCCCAAAAGCCCTAAGCCCGAACTTGCTTTGCTACATGAAGGCCCGGCAAGGTCGGCTCGGTGGCAAGCCGGGATGTGCGGAGAGCCAAGTTCCAGGACTCCTTGCAGAAGCAGTTTGGTCATGCTGCCCGCAGATCGCTAAATCTGATCTGAAGGCAGGGAAGACTGTTGGTGGTGGTGGTGTTTCTCGTCGTGCCCTATACAACTCAGGGTAGTTCATAGGAAGCCCCATTAAGGGATCCAAAGTGTGCTGGTGTCTTCTCCTGGTGTCTCCTCGGTGGTCTCCTGGTGTCTCCCCGGTGATGGTCGTCCTGGCCGCAGTGGTCGTGGTGGTGGTCCTGTCCGTCTTGGCCGTCCTAGGGCTTTGTCACCTCATCATTGTTTGAGGTGGACAGATAGACCGACAGAGCGATAGAGAATTAATAGAGATAGATGGACAGATAAATAGATAGATAGACAAGTAGACAGGTCGACAGATAAACAGACCGATCGATAATTAGGCAGATAGACAGATAGATAGACGGACAGGTACATAGATCGATAGATAGACAAATATCGGTTGACAAATGGTACGGGTAGATGCCTGATATGTGCGTGTGTGTGCATATATATATAGATACATATTATATACATATATATGTACATATATATATATATAGTATACATATATACATATAGTTAATAGATATACCTAGGCACCTCTCTGCAAGGCGGGGAGCAGGGAGCTGGCGAGTCTGGTCGAAGTTTCTTGGGTCGTGTTCTTGTCCTCCACGCCAGGAAGCCTTCTCCAGCTACTTGCAGCAGAAGGCCGATCGCCTCCTTTGGAGCTGATGTAACCTGGAGGTTTCGGGTTTAATTTTTAGGGTTTAGGGTTTTGGGGGTTAGGGTTTAGGGTTTATCTCAGTGACAGGTCTTTTGGACTTTCGGGCAATCTACGGTTTGTCTGATGAGTCGAGACCACTTGTATGGGCCAGGCGCCGGAGTTCCAGTCCCCGGAGAAGCCAGCGGCCAAGCCCGGCGAAGTTCTTGCTGAAGCCGTTCGGTCCGTGTCAAAGAGTTCGTCGCGGCTGCTGTTTTGAAATGTGTTCTTGTCAAGCACGAGATAACACTTTCTGACAATCGCTCTAGACTCTACTTGATCTGTGCCGAACAGGTCGGTTGTCTTTGTTCCTCCGTGATTCTGTTGCCTCGCCCAAGTTACTGCTGGGCGACACCTTGGGACCTTGGCTCTCAGGTTGTCGCGTGCTCCGCCGATTTCGGTGGCGCCACCGCGGGCAGCAGCGCCGGAGGCGCAAAAACGTGCTCCGGTGCTACCAGAAATCACGGGAGGATTTACATTCGATGTACATCACGGTGGTAGCGGCGATGGTGCTGGTTGAGGGTGGTGATGATGATCATGATGGCGACGGTATTTTGTTGTTCCTTGTTTTCACCAAGGGCATGTCTGAACGCTCGGGATTCTTGCATGACAAGTCTTTTGAAGAGCAGGAGTGTGTGTGGGTGTGGGTGAGTGTGTGCGTGTGTGTGTGTGTGTGTGTGCGTGCAAGTGCAGCTGCAGAGCCTTTGCACTGTGGGAAGGCGGGAGTATGTTTTGTACGTGACAAAGCCAGGGACTAGGACGATGCCTCTCCCTCCCTTCCTCCTTGTCCTCTTCCTTCTCCTACCGTTCGTCCTGGCTATCGTCGGTTGTTTCCCTCGCTAGCATCTTGGAATTCGGTGTCAACTTGTCAGGATCCAGAGCCTCCGTCGCCGCCGCCGGCACCGCCCACCCGGCAGGCAGGGCATCCTCGTCGGAACAGGGCTAGGAGTTTCTCGGCCATTCTGAGATACACTGCAGGCGTTGCTTCAGGAAGCGCTGGGAGCATCCGAGGACGAGGAGGCACCCAGTCAGGGATCCATAATTTCTGGCAAGCACCATGCCTGAGCGTTTGCTGCGATGAGTCCGCAACCCAGCTTGACCCCCTTCCATTCCGCCTCTTGTAGGGGTTGAATTCGTGGTGTGGTCCCTGAGCTGGATGGCCCTCAATGGCGTTGACCTGGATGGCACAGCATGGCTTGTTTCAGAAGGCCTCCCTCCTGGCAACCATCACTTCGCCGCTCTGGACATCAAGGAACACCTGGTCGCGCACAGCGTCCTGTCGCTTGCCCGGCAAGCTGCGTGTTACCTTCCGTTATTCGAGGGTGCACAGACAGGCACAGAGGAAGACGGCACCTTCGAGCTCTGCGGGACGGCTGCTGACTTCCAGGATCTCAAAGGCTGCGTCGGCTTCGGTGCTGATTGCTCTGCTGGACTCGGCCGTGGACCAGCAGGGTTTCAACGAGTACCACACCGGAGCGGCCTTTGCACGATTAGCCCAGCTGAAGCAAAAGAACAGGCTTTCGAGGGAACACTTGAAGGGCTCTGTCGTGCTCCGACTGCAATCCCGACTTCTTGAAATCATCTCGCGTGGCATCTTGGAAGCCCGCGGGGCAGCAAACACTCTCTGGGCCGTGGCGGTGCTGGGCCTCAAAAACACGAGGCTGCTTCAAGATTTGGTCCCCGTGGTCGGCGCCACCTCCTCTCTTATGAAACCGCAAGAGCTGGCCAACTGCGCTTGGGCCCTCGCATGCCTCAAAGACGAGCACGGGCCCGTGGTGCTCCAGGCCCTGCCGGGGATTTTAGAAAGTCTTCCCCAGAAGATCGGTGCCATGAAACCGCAGGAGTTGTCCAACTGCCTCTGGGCTCTCACGCATCTACGGGAGGAGGCAGAGAGGAGCGTGGCAGCCGCTCCCAAGATGGGGCCCGTGGTAGGCTGCGTGGCGGTGCAAACCGCTCTTTTGGCAGACTTTCTGGGGCCACAGGACCTGTCCAACTGCCTCTGGGCCTTGGCTCAGCTGTGCCGTCACGATGCTCCCAGGGATGAACTGAGAAAGGCCCTGGGGGTCCTGGTTCCAGGGTTGGTGACGAGACTTCCGCGAGTTGTGCGAAGGATGATCCCGCAGCATCTGGCCAATTGCTTGTGGAGCTCGGTGTATCTACAAGACGTAGCTCCGGAAGTTCTGCAGATTGTGCCAGTGCTTTCGCGAGAAATTCCTGCCAAGGCAGCTCGAATGAACACACAGGAGCTTAGCAACTGCCTTTGGGCGGCAGCGAACTTGAAGGATATTTCCAGAGAGGTGCTGTCGATCGTGCCGTCCGTTTCAGAAGGCCTGTCAGAGGCCGCCAGCTCCAAAAACTTGCTGCCGCAGCACCTCTCCAACTGCCTTTGGGCCTCGGCCCAACTGAAGGACGGCCCGAAGGGCGGAGAAGTGCTGAAAGCCCTGCCAGCGATCCTGCACTCTCTTCCAAGCGTTGCCGACATGAATCCTCAAGAGGTGGCGAATTGCCTTTGGGCGGCAGCCCATCTGCAGGATGTATACCGCGGCGTGCTGATATCGGTTCCATTCCTGGTGGAGCGCCTGGTTGAGACTCTGGATGGCATGAAGCCTCAAGAGCTTTCCAGCTGCCTTATCGCATCAGCCCGTCTGGAAGCCACTACGCCGGAGGTGCTAAAATGTCTCGCGCCGCTCCTGGCTGATGCTTCTAACCAGGTCTGGCCTCGCGGTCTCAGGGACGGCGTGGAAGCACTGACTTTTCCGCGCGCCCGAGAAAGAATTTGAAGCGAGTCTCCGTCTTTCCCGAGCTCTGCGGCCGGAACCTTCTAGAGCCACCGAGCCACCCCGACCGAGATGCTTGGCACAGGTCGAAGCGTTGGAGCCCTGCACCGTCCAGACCTCGGACTCCTCCTGAAGCGTCTTCGGAGGAGCGTTGCTAAACGTCGTTTCGTTGCTTGGAAGACAGCGTCGTATGATGGCACGCCCCCGCACAGACGCGGGGCATTAACGGGCTTAGCACAAGAGCATTGCACCTGTGCCGAGGTGCCCTACGGTGTGTTGGCGCAGGCATGCGGTTCCTGACACACTGCTGGAGAGTTGTGGGTCGGTCTATTCGAGAAACAGGAATTTTGAATGAATGCACAGTTTCGCAGAGAATCGACGCCACCCTGCGGTGGCTGCGCGCTTGAACCTGGGAGGTGACTTCCCTGGCAGGTGGCTCTGTGCGTCTTTCCTGGTTCGGAGCTTGGCACTTGAAGTTGCAGGTCTCAGTTGTTTGCCCAGCTGCCTGCAGTGCCTGCAGGCTGTTTGACTGGGAGAGTGCGCCTGCCGAGATAGCCAGGGAGGAGTGGGCCAGTGCCTAAGAGCTTGTTACAGTGTCCGCTGCTTGAGCATGCATGCGGCAGACAGATCCCGTGCAAGTTGGTCAGGGCATTGTCCATGCAGAGAGCACATGCAAAACATTGCCAAACATACAGAAACATACCGCAACATACTGCAACATACCCAACAACGCTTTGCAACGCTGGCGGAGGCCGTGCGAGGCTTCGAGGTCCAAGCGCACTCGGAGGAGGCTTGCCCGTTCCTGTGCTTTAGCGGCTTCGCAGTCCGAAGCTGTCGGGTGCAAACAGGTGCTGTAGTCCCTTTGCTCTGTTGATGTTTCGCAGGACTCTGAGAATCTGGAAGTTCTTTCATTCTCGAAGTCCGGCCCCAAGTACCTATATCTGCTTCCTGGCAGCTTCTCTGCGGGGCTCCGGGGCTACTCGTAATAGCGACTCGCGTCTTGAGGTCGCCGGCTACCTTCGAGCTCCCAGCAGGGCAGAGATACCGGCTTCAGGCGCATCTGCAAGGGCTGCCAGGGATATGGGAACATCTGCAAGGATTCACATGATGTCCGGGGTGCCAGGGTGTGTTAAGGCACGGATCGGATAGTCCCCAAGTCGGGACGCTGTATGACTCTTCTTGTGTTCGCATGATCTCGCCAGTCCTGACTCCAAGAATCGCCCGGGAGGGCCTATCGTTCAATGCTTCTGCATGTTTACGCCAGCCACTGCTCGCCATTCCCGTCCTGTGTATCGTCCTAAACATGCCATGGGTATGTGCAGGGCAAACATGAGTGCTCGCATCTCGGAGGTTCGGGCGATCCTGTCCGATAGCAGACAATCAGGCGCAGTGCAGTTGCGAACAGATCCATAATTTGACTGTCCGCGAGGGGTGCGGGGGTCGCTGAGAGCAACATCCTCCAAGTGTCTTCGATCTGCAAACTCCCAGGTCCGGACTCTGAGCCAAACTAGAAACGAGTGTTGTTGGTCCTCCGCATGACCTTAGCCTTAACTACTTAGTTGACCTTGTCGTGCCGCCGAAGACTAGCCAGCTTGTTCTTTGCTTCACACTGGTTTCTGTCGCCTCAGAATGTCCACCAGTCAGTGCCGGAACACGCTGCCCTTGCATCCAAAGTTACTCACGCAGTCCCATCTCAAGGTAGCCTTCAGTGCCTTAGAGCACAGGGCCCCCTACGTCTGGTCACTCGTCTCAGGGGCCACGGCCTCCTGGACTTCGGCGCTCTCCAGCGCGGCCAGGGCCATAAGCATCGCACCGGCAGTCAACATGGAGAAAGCACGGTCATCGTCATCACTGTTGCAGTTGTAGCAGGCAGGTGGCCACGTTGCACTTGGCTGAGAAGTATGTATGTATGCATGTACGTACATACTTATATATATATATATATATGTATGGAAGTGTAGAACGAAACTACACGCTGTTCGACACGTTGACACAGGTCAGCGCCGATTTGCGAGCACCCACTTCACCAGTCAAGGCTTCCCAGGCTGTGGATGATGATAATCACAAGACCTCCTCAGCCATCGACCCATCGACCCTGGAAGGCCACCTCGCCCATGTCTCTCTCGAGTGAGGCGGGCAAGTGTTTTTGACTTTCTCGGTCGATGTGTTGCGTCTTCTGTTCTACAGGCTTCGGCAAAAACGCCCAGCCTGCAAGTGCACGGCACTGAGCCGATTTCTCTTCAAAACCCTGACAGGGTCGCCTGTGGCAGATGTCAAGACTGCAGTAGGCAGGCTCTGCGGCCCATTGCCAGCAATGGAAGCCAAAGGATGGATTGTTAGAAGAGTCGGGCCTGCTGGTTTGAGAACCAACACTCAACACCCTCCTGTGCCCGTCTCTGAACTTTTTCACGGTCATTCTCGAAGTACATGGGTTTTAGACGGGTGCTAAACGTACGCTTAGTATTAGGGTGCTTTAAGGGGTTCCACAGTGATGATAGCAATTCAGATAGCAGTAGTAATGGTACTAAGAACTTTGCCGTAGTTGGGTAACATTTTTCCTTTTGATGGGTACTTAAACCCAATAAGGAATAGAAGTTAAAATTTTGATACGATCCCAACCATGAACTAGATAAGACGATAATGATACTATAATAGTATTAATAATACTATAATAGTACTAATAACACTATAGAAGTAATAGTAGTACTAATAATACTATAATATCGCCCTCGATATCGACGGCCTTTCTCCGAGTGCCAAGGCCGAAGGCCAAGGCCAGGGGACGTGTGGCCGCCAACTTCGGGGTCACCCGGTCCTGAGCAGTCGTAGAGGGCCTGGGGGTTGAGGGGTTCGGGTTTTTTGGGGGTTTAGGGGGGTTTTGGGGTTGAGGGTTTAGGGGTTTGGGGGAGGGGGGTTTAGGGATTTGTGGGTTTAGGGTAAACGGTTTAGGGTATTTTAGGGTTTAGGAAAAACAAGAAGTAGCACACGGTAACCTAATTGAAACCCTGCTGGCCCTTATGGTAGCCCACAGTGCAACCCACATACTAGTCCTTATGCTACACTTTCTTGCAATGGCTGCTCTGTCAGTTTGGTTAGGGCCGAGATCATCCCTTGCAGCACGGCCCCACCACCCGAAATCCTGAACCCCATACCCCATTCCCCAAGCCCCAACATATGTGCCGAATACTGCTAGTAGAGAACATGATCGCCGCGTGGCCTTGGCATGCCAAGCTGAAACACCAGACGATTTGGCCATGAGAGGCGTAGTCTGCCGCCGCTTTTCGGGATTCAGACATCCTTCAACTTCATGGTGAAGGCTTTGAAGGAGAAAGCTCTTGGCAGACTTTTTAGGGCTAGGGTTTAAGGTTCAGGGTTTAGGATTGTCTGTCGGGAGAACTTCGGGCGGGCGAGCAGAGAATGGTTGCGTCCCGCAAACTTCTCAAGGATCCTTTGTATATTGAGGCTTTCATGGCGGCAGCTACTCCGGGCACGTCTGCCCCGAACACCGCTGCGGCGAAGGCGGGGCGGAAGTGTCCAATTGAATAGTTCAGCAGCTGCTCCGTACTGCCGTCTGGAAGTCTTGGACCATCAGACACGCTCTCAGCTTCGCCGCTGTTGTGGTTTGACGCGGAGAGGTCGTGATGGGCGGTTCAGTTCGGCAACAGGCACGTCTGCAACACAGCTTCCTTCTGTGCCGGGGTTCTTGTGTCGTCCGCAGAGGGAGAACTTCTATTGCAAGCATAGACAGAGGGTGCAACGGTTCAGGTTTCGGGTCAATGAATGGCCCCTGAAGTCATGGTTGTGGTTGCAGTGGAGTCAAGATTGTGATGTCGTCTGTGGTGCGTAGGCCCGCCCAAGAGCCCCCTTGTTAAGAAGGCACGAACCGATCCGTTGGTTGCGAACAACCCACGGGTCGTTGCTGCCCCGAGCTGAGGATGTTGGCGCGGCGACGCGTTTTCAAGTGTGAAGGGTGACGGGGGTTCACAAGCCGACCTCAGGCTGGGCCGGCAGACGCAGCCAGTGAGAAGGCCGAGATGGCAGAGAGGCCTCTCCTGCACGAGAATCTCGGAAAAAAGCCAGCAGCACCGGTGCTACCTACCCTGCCCAGACTGCGCAAGCGCGGGCAGAGTGGGCCGGAGCCCTAATGGCCTGGCGTGTGACTACGAGCAGTTCAGAGTTCAGAGAAGAGGCCTGCAACTTGCTGCGTGAAGAGCGAAAGACCTGCAGGGAGACCTCCAACGCTCACGTCGAGATGCATCCGCTTGGACCTTGGTGTTTAAGTTTCCTGTGCTCTTGTGAGAAAAGCGACGACAACGGTCGCCGCTCCTGGTTCGTCCATCAGACCGCAGATCCCGAAATCCCTGAAGACCAGTGCAGCACTCTGCCTTCTGAAGGCGTTCTTCGAGCTTTGACTCCGATGACGAGAGCCTGGCGAAGTTGTCAATGGCACTCCGAAGCTGGGAGCCCAGCAGAGCCAGCACGGCTGTTCTGCTTTTCTACCCAGCTTAGTAGCTACTCAGATGGGTTTAGGGTCTGGGGGTTTAGGGTTTACAGATCCATCTCTGATGCCGAGGCTTGGAGAAGAACACTGCGGCCAGAGAAAAGCGGCAGCTGCAGGCAGGGCCATAATCCGGCTTTCCTGCGCTGGTTTCCAGGTCCTGAGGTTTGTCGGCTGCCATAATGCTTGTGACTGTTAGTATGCCCATGGGTGGCTGTCAACATTAGGGCCCCTTTTTGGGTACCCTAAATTATAGGTGCCGTATTATAACAGGGACCCAAAAAGGGACCATAATTTTGACAACCACCCTGTATGGAGAAATATGCCTCGAGCGTTTTGCAGCCCTGCTTTAACCTTGGCGTCTCGACGTGGGAGTTTCCGAGAATTGGGGGGGTGCCTTATTTTGGGGTCCTTACATCAAGGATCCTACTATTTACGGCACTATCTTGGGGTAGGGTTGAGGGTTTAGGGTTTAGGGCCCTAAACCCTAAACCCTATTTTCGGAAACTCCCACGTGTCTGCGTGCCAGGAGGTTGCCAGCGAGGCGGCCCACCAGTTGCCGGAGCGATTGGAGGCCCCTTTTGGACCCCTTTAGGTCGGAAACCTTCGTGTAAACCCTAAAGCCTAGGAAGGGTTTGGGGTTTGGGGAGATTTGGGGAGTTGCAGGCCTCGCCTTTTGCTCCATGCTTGGCTTTTTATCAGTTCTATTGTGGTGGGCCCCAAAACCTCATCATGGGACCAGCATGAAGCGCCGAATCGTGCGGCCGATCACACTGGGTCCCTTCTGCGCAAGCCTGGCAGCATGGTCGACTTTGAGCTTCTTCCCACATGGCCAAGGGGCTCGCATTGATGCGAAGCTTGTGCGTCGGCTCGTTGCCACCCAGTTCCCTGAGTGGAGCCACTTGCCCATCCGATTTTTTGATTCCTCCGGGACGAATCATGCGATCTACCGTCTGGGCGACGAGCGCTACGTTCGCCTGCCTTTGGCCGAGTCCACACAGCTCCAGATGGAGAAGGAGTCTCAGTGGCTGGCGAGGCTGGCACCCGACCTGCCGCTTACCATACCGGTGCCGCTCGCAGCCGGCCAAGCCACTGAGAGCTATCCCTATCGATGGGCGGTGTACCCGTGGCTGCACGGGGAGGAGGCAACGCTAGAGACCCTCGCCGACGAAAGGACAGCGGCAGCTGAGCTCGCCCGCTTTGTGGCTGCCCTGCAAAGTATCGATCCGGAGAACGGGCCGGAGCCGGGCGCCCACAACTTTCATCGGGGTCTTCCCCTCCGAGAGAGAGACGAAGAGGTGCGCCAGGCGCTCGCGCAGCTGGATCGGCGGCTTGAGACGGAGACGGCACTGGATACCGCCCTCGTTGCCGGCATTTGGGAGGATTCTTTGGCCGCTGACGCAGAATTCACTCCCGTCTGGATTCACGGAGACTTGCACTCTGGGAACCTCCTGGCCGTAGATGGCCAGCTGAGTGCGGTCATTGACTTCGGCGGCTTGGGAGTTGGGGATCCAGCCTGCGATTTGCTGGTTGCCTGGTGGCTGTTCTCGAAGGAAGGGCGGCAAAGCTTCCGACAGGAGTTGAACGTCGACGATGCGAGTTGGCGACGCGGCCGGGGATGGGCTCTTTCGATGGCCGTGATAGCTCTGCCCTACTACATGGACACGAACCCACGCTTTGTGGCTGCGGGAGAGCGTGCATTGAGAGAGGTGCTTGCCGAGTTTACAGGGTGACATTGAAAGGGGAGGAAAGGCAAGCATGGCTTTGGTCTGGTTAGCCAGCTGGGTGCAAAACGACTGTCGACGACTGGGGCCATGGCTTTCAGCCAACCGTTTCACTCAACGTTCCTCTGCCAGCGCTCGAACCATCTCCGCTATCGCTACACTCAGGTCCCTTGCTTTGCGGAAGCCTGGTCCTGCACTAATACAGTGCTGCCCACCACTTCAGTGGCGCAAGTAGGACGCCCGGGGGTGGCGGCGTTGACGAGTGCAAACGCCTGCGAGCTGTATCCTCGGGGCCCCGCATCGGCCGCCCCGCTGGCTCCAAGCCGGCACCACACACTCTTTCAGGAACGTGTTGTCGCTCGCCTAAGTTGTCAACGCGACGGGCGACGTCGCCAACCTTAGCTGTGCGTTCTTCAAAAGGCATGCGATTGTGTCGCTGGCAACAGCATGAGACCTGGGGACCACACATGCTGCAAGTAAGTGCCTCACTGGGTTGACCCTCCCTGCTAGTCTGGGTACTTACAACCCGAGCCTCTCCCATCGCTGATCTGTTTGTCAACTGTGATTTTGGGATGTTTCAACTCGGGAGAAGACGAGATGGATTCTTGTCCAGTTGAGAGAGGTCTTTGCGAACTGTTGTACGGAGCCGCAAATGGTATCTCTTTTGATCTGCAGGGCTTGGGTTTCAGGGGTACAGGCTGACAGCGCACATGCTACTGATCCGGCTGATGTGTAAGTTGTCGCACTGCAGCTGGTTGCCCTTCTGCTTGTTTTGCTGTCTGTAGACAGTCCTTCCTCGCCCTTTCCGGTTTGATTGCTTTGAGTCTCTGTACCTCTTGAAGAGCCCGATGGTATCTTTACTGGCTGGCAAGGCATTCTTGGTGAAATCGAAGAACTTTTCTACGGATGTAACGTATGTGCCGACTTTTGCGAATGCTGCTGCCGTGTAAAGATGCTAGACTGATGCGTTGCAGCAGCCCATCGCCAGGTCATCGAGCAATGACTTGGATTTAGAGTCCGAGCCACGGTCTCTGCGGTCGCCTGGTTGGCTTCGTATCATGTCCAATGTGTGCGCATGTGTGCGCCATGCTGAGGACGGCAAGCGTGTGAGCCGAACACGGGCCAACACCTGTCGACGAAGGAAAAAAGGGACACTCTCGAAGAGGGCCGCTGCTGGGAGATTGGATGGAAATTGTGCGTTGCATGTCGTTTTCAGACGGTCCAGAAGGTGGCCAAGCACCGCTTACATCTGCCCTGTGTTCAAGCACTGCGGTGCCACTGCCGGCTAATTGGCAACGTTGACTTCCAAACCAAGAACCATCCGTACGATCGGTCGTGCGCGAGTCTTCCAAATTCCTTCGCATGAAGGGTTAAAGACCTGACAAATGTGTCAGCCTTGTAGGGCCCGAGGCGGGCATCCATTTTACAGGCACCGGCACTCACTGCAACGGACATCATGCGGTTCCCTGAAGTGTTGGCATCAGGACTGTTCCAGAATCCTGTCTGAGGCACGCTGGACGTGTTCAACAAAAGAGTATGACCAGTGCCTTGACTTTCACAGTAGGCTGATACCCCCTTCCAGTCCCCATGTACCTCGTGATGTCTGAGCAGTTTACAGCCTGAGCAGTTTCCTTGACCGATGTCGCCGGGAGATGTCGGCAATCGAGGGAGGCCAGCGGCCTCAGTGAAGACCTTTTCAGAGTTGTCTCAACACCGCAACGCGACACGGAGGTCCTGTGGAGAGGCGGAGAAAGGATCCTACGGGCAAGGGCGCCGCTTCGCATCTCAAGGAGCTGGGCATTGCGAGCGGGTGCCCAGTTTCCAGAAGGCAACCTTGGAAATTGCAACGTGAAGCCGTATGCCTCTGCACGCGCGCTCAGGTTGCCGCAGAACTTCTTCCAAGACTTCGAGGATCGCTGGCGTTTTTTGCCGAGGGCTCGGATGCTCCACCACGCAGCCACAGACACAATCACCACGACCACGACGACTACTGTTGTGGTGACGACGACTACCAAGCATAAGAGCGTTTCAAGATTCGTGACCCATCCATCTAAACGGTTAGCTGCGGTCTTGGGTGTGGACGTCGGCAAAGTGACCCACAATACGACAAGATGACATCCGCGTGTGAAACTTCAAAATCTCGAAGGTTTGAAGATAAGACGACAGCCATTCAGCATCTCCCCTGTGCATTGCGCAGGACAGTAGGGGTTCGATCCTTAAGTTTGGGGGCGTCTATAGGGAAGTTTGAGGGTCTCGGAGTAATAGACAGCAGCTTTTTGGTTTTGGGGTTTCTTCTGTTTCAGGGCTTGTGCTCAGGGCATGTGCACGGCGTGCAGAGCTTTGGTAGGGCTTTTAGGGTTTTAGGGGTTAGGGTTTAGGGTTTTAGGGTTTTAGGGTTTTAGGGTTTTAGGGGTTTTAGGGTTTTAGGGTTTTAGGGGTTTTAGGGGTTTAGGGTTTAGAGGGTTTTTCCTTTGCTTTCCCTGGCGTGGGACCTTACAGTTCAGGGCTCCCAGGCTTGGGCTGGCTAGCTACCATGTAATGTACCATACTATACTATAATATTCTATGATATACTATTAATGAACTATAAAAAACTATAATAATATACTATAATATATTATAATAGATTGGACTGCAGTGCGAGACGCGAGGCCGGGTTCTACCAAGGCCGCCGAGACATTGCGCAGGCGGGAACACTGTCTTAGTGTCTCCTTACGCCGTAATGCAAGGGAAAGGGGTCCAAGCATTCGGTCGAACTGCTGCGCCTGCTGTGGGTTCCAAGGCCAGACGATGGGAAAGAGAGTTTTAAGCACAATCCAGCTGATGCTCATGATGCTCGCCCCCTGGGCTCACTAAATCCGTCCAATCATTCGGTCGAACTGCTGCGCCTGCTGTGGGTTCCAAGGCCAGACGATGGGAGAGAGAGTTTTAAGCACAATCCAGCTGATGCTCATGATGCTCGCCCCCTGGGCTCACTAAATCCGTCCAATCATTCGGTCGAACTGCTGCGCCTGCTGTGGGTTCCAAGGCCAGACGATGGGAGAGAGAGTTTTAAGCACGATCCAGCTGATGCTGATGATGATCGCCCCCTGGGCTCACTAAAACCGTCCAATCATTCGGTCGAACTGCTGCGCCTGCTGTGGGTTCCAAGGCCAGATGATGGGAGAGAGAGTTTTAAGCACAATCCAGCTGATGCTCATGATGCTCGCCCCCTAAACTCACTTAATCCGTCCAATCATTCGGTCGAACTGTTGCGCCTGCTGTGGGTTCCAAGGCCAGACGATGGGAGAGAGAGAGTTGTAAGCACAATCCAGCTGATGCTCATGATGCTCGCCCCCTGGGCTCACTAAATCCCTCCAATCATTCGGTCGAACTGCTGAGCCTGCTGTGGGTTCCAAGGCCAGACGATGGGAGAGAGAGTTTTAAGCACAATCCAGCTGATGCTCATGATGCTCGCCCCGTGGGCTCACTAAATCCGTCCAATCATTCGGTCGAACTGCTGCGCCTGCTGTGGGTTCCAAGGCCAGACGATGGGAGAGAGAGTTTTCACCACAGTCCAGCTCATTTCATGATGCTCGCCCCCGGGGCTCTTTTAATCCGTCCAATCATTCCTGCGCCTGCTGTGGGTTCCAAGGCCAGACGATGGGAGAGAGAGTTTTAACAACACTCCAGCTGATGCTCATGATGCTCGCCGCTGGGCTCTTTAAATCCGTCCAATCATTCGGTCGAACTGCTGTGCCTGCTGTTGGTTCCAAGGCCAAACGATGGGAGAGAGAGTTTTAAACACAATTTCGCTGATGCCCGTGATGCTCGCCCCCGGAGCTCTTTGAATCCGTCCAATCATTCGGTCGAACTGCTGCGCCTGCTGCGGGTTCCATGGCCAGACGATGGGAGAGAGAGTTTTAAGCACAATCCAGCTGATGCTCATGATGCTCGCCCCCTGGGCTCACTAAATCCGTCCAATCATTCGGTCGAACTGCTTGAGCCTGCTGTGGGTTCCAAGGCCAGACGATGGGAGAGAGAGTGTTGCCACAATCCAGCTGATGCTCATGATGCTCGCCCTCGGGGCTCTTTAAATCCGTCGAATCATTCGGTCGAACTGCTGCGCCTGCTGTGGGTTCCAAGGCCAGACGGTGGGAGAGAGAGTTTTAAACACAATCCAGCTGATGCTCATGATGCTCGCCCCCCGAGCTTTGAATCCATCCAATCATTCGGTCGAACTGCTGCGCCTGCTGTGGGTTCCAAGGCCAGTCGATGGGAGAGAGAGTTTTAAACACAATCCAGCTGATGCTCATGATGATCGCCCCCCGGGGCTCTTCAGATCCGTCGAAGCATTCGGTCGAACTACTGCGCTTGCTGTGGGTTCCATGGCCAGGCGATGGGAGAGAGAGTTTTAAGCACAATCCAGCTGATGCTCAAGATGCTCGTCCCCCGAGCTCTTTAAATCGGTCCAATCATTCGGTCGAACTGCTGAGCCTGCTGTGGGTTCCAAGGCCAGTCGATGGGAGAGAGAGTTTTAAACACAATTTCGCTGATGCCCGTGATGCTCGCCCCCGGAGCTCTTTGAATCCGTCCAATCATTCGGTCGAACTGCTGCGCCTGCTGCGGGTTCCAAAGCCAGACGATGGGGGAGAGAGTTTTAAACACAATCCAGCTGATGCTCATGATGCTCCCCCTCGGTCATTCGGTCGAACTGCTGCGCCTGCTGTGGGTTCCAAAGCCAGACGATGGGGGAGAGAGTTTTAAACACAATCCAGCTGATGCTCATGATGCTCCCCCTCGGTCATTCGGTCGAACTGCTGCGCCTGCTGTGGGTTCCAAAGCCAGACGATGGGGGAGAGAGTTTTAAACACAATCCAGCTGATGCTCATGATGCTCCCCCTCGGTCATTCGGTCGAACTGCTGCGCCTGCTGTGGGTTCCAAGGCCAGATGAGGGGGGAGAGGGAGTTTCAATCGTAATCCAGCTGATGTTCATGATGCTCGCCCCCCCGGGCTCTTTAAATCCGTCCAATCATTCGGTCGAACTGCTGCGCCTGCTGTGGGTTCCAAAGCCAGACGATGGGAGAGAGAGTCTTAACCACAATCCAGCTGGCGCTCATGATGCTCGCTTGCCACTCCCTGCGGTGACACGCCCATTTAAAGGTTCGGGGAAAAGAAGCTCGCTGCAGACTGCGTGGCCTTGGGAAACCTAAGGAGCTGTGACAAACCAGGCTTCTTTGCTTCGTTTTGGCAGGATATGGGGCCTCAAGTCGGTGCTTAAGCACGCAGTCCTGGGCGGTTTCAAGGCCGGAGATCAACTCACCGCTCGTCCGGTCTCCTTGGGTACCCCGTGTGTCAGGCCTACGAGTTCGGAATCCCACGCCCATCTTACGCCTGGTGCTCATGGTCACCGTGGCATCCTCAGCGTAAGCCTCAACCCTGAAGGATGCCGCTCCAGCAGATGATGCTGCCCGACGCGCGAAGCGTGCGCCCGAACCCGAGAGACAAGAGGGCAAAGGGCCTTGAGGTGGGGACCCCTAGGCCACCCGAACACAAACCGTCAACTTTTGATAGTCTGAACCCTCGAGAAAGCAAAGCCTCTGCTCGAGGCTGCAGCGGAACCTCACTCTGGTTCAGAACCATGTGCACCGCGGGGATGCCCTGTCGGGAGCCCGTCACAAGATGGCGAGAGTTCGGGCATGCTGTGGTTGAGAGCATCCGCCTGGTTCCAGGTTGTCCCGCTACCTTCGGCAAGCTGCCCTTCTCTTCGGCCTGCCCGGAGGCACCGAAGCGTGGAGCAAGGGCAGGCACCGGTGAGCATGCTGTCGATGAAAATGAAAGGCCTCAACTCCTATACCACGCCGGCGCTTGCCGTAGGTCTGGTCTGGGCTAGCCTGTGTCGGCTTGGGTTCGAAGGATTGAGTCGCATACCTGCGTTCTAGGCTTCAACACCTCGTGGGAGCAGGTTTGTGAGCGCAGTCCAAGCATCACATGTCGAACCTGTCCGGGCTCAGTGCAGGCTTCGGCTATCACTTCGATCCCAGTGACGCAATCATCCTCCAGGTTGAGGGCAACAAGCAGAGAGCCCAACTGCTTCGGCTCAGTTCTTTCTGTTCTGATTCTAGTTGCCAGCGATTAAAGAGCGTTGCAGCTGTTCCCAAAAGGACCTGGGAGATCTGTGGCCGCAGATTTCCGAATGCCTTCAGCTTTTCGAACCTCACCTACAACCAGGCCCCACCAGTTGAATCTGTTGGATAGCGCGGCGTCCCTTGGCACGTGCTCCATGTGCATGATCCCGCGCGCCATGCATCAGCTGACACCTGCCTCTATGATTCGGAGTACAAACAAGAGCCTAAGTCTCTCGCAAGTCGTGCAGTGCGGAAAAACCTTCCAGTGCAGTGCTTTTCTTACGTGAAAAGAGCTCGCCTTGCAGATCCCCAACGATGCCGAAGACGTAGCAAATTGCAGCGAAGTCGCACGAAGCCCAGCAGTTGCGAGTTCCCCGTTGTCGCAGCTTCTGGAAACGTCTCAGCCGGAGTGCTTGCAGTGTAAGCTCACCCCTCACTTAGGTGCTCAGGGAGGGAGATGCTCTGTACCTGCCTGTGGGGCAGGCCGGAGACCCCCAGTAGCACTGCACGCGAACTGGCTCCCTAGTCTCTGAGCTCTTGTTGCAAAGAGCATGGCATAGCTTTAACCTATTGCACCGAAGATTGCGAGCATCTTCTCCGCCTTTAGGAACAAACCCTAAGCCCTGAAACGCTTTTGTCTTTAAAAGGTGCACCGTGCTCAAGCGCCGGCACCTCAGAAGTGCGCAGGGCAGCCTCGGGTTCCAGCGTCCAGCCTAGTGGTGATTTTGGCTGAAGGGATGTTGCCGCGTATAGCAGATATACTAATCGAGGTATCCCTTTAGTGACCCTTGATACCTATGGTAGCCGCATTGTATCCTTACAATAACCTGCCTTGACATCAGCTACGATGAAGTTAGCCTTCCTACCATAACCAATCGCATGATTTGCAAAGTCTGGCGCTTCGCTGGGTGGTTGAGGGCTTGTACACCCCGAGAAGATGAGAGGAGATGAGATTCGCAGTGCAGGAACAAAGCTTTGTCCATCCACTTGACCATGTCGTTGAATCGGCAGCACGGTCCTCAGCTGCACCTCCAGTGGCCCCATGTCGACGCAACGCCGCATTCACTATTGAGCATATGGGTGGTTGTCAAAATTATGGTCCCTTCTTGGGCACCCAAAATATTAGGTGCCGTACTATAATAGGGACCTAAAAAGGGATCCTAATTCTAATATTTAAGGTACCCAAAAATGGACCATACTATAATAGGGACCCTAAAAAAGGGACCCTAATTTTGAGAACCACCCATATGTCTTGGCTCAGGTTTTGCAGTGCCGCTGCAGTGCTCTTGAATGTGGCTGAACAGCGTCTCATCTGCAAGAGATCTTCCAATAGTATAGTACCATCATATATCCCGTACAGTAATATAGTATCCCTTCATCTAGTACCACTATATATCCCTTATAGTATCCCTTTAAGGATCCCTTTAAAAGAGCCCCTGTTCTAAGTAGTAGTATAGTACCAGCATATATCCCGCCTTATAGTATCCCTTTATAAGGATCCCATGAAAGGAATCCCTGTTCTAACTATTATATATCCCTTATAGTATCCCTTTAAGGATCCCTTTACAGGAGCCCCTGTTCTAAGTATTAAGAGTGGAGCTCTTTTCAGTCGCAGAGCTGTGAGGATCAACCCATCGAAAGAGTTTGGCTTCGCATGGACCTCAGCCGGGCTCTGCGGCTGCTATACTAGACTATACTATACTATATTATTTTCTGCTATATACTATATATTTTGCTATGGTATACTATATTATGCTATGTACCAAACTAAACTATACTATACCGTGGTATACTACATTATGCTATAGAAACTAAACTATACTATACTACGTGCATCGGCACCGGAGATGTCCAGAAGCCGAGGCGCAGCCGACCTTCGTCTCATGGGTGCATGCCACGGCGGCAGACCCGAGTGGCAGCCCCAGCCCCAAACAAGAAAAGCTATGGTACCACCACAAAACCTTTTTACCGCAGTGTGCTATACGAAACTGAAGTATACTATAGAATACTAGCGGAAAACTGCATTCTACCATGCGCCGCCAGGCTCGCCGATCACGACGGCCGTAGATGAAGTTATACGAGATCGAAGTATACTATGGAATGCTCTGCTCTACTCTACTCTATACTCCACTCTGCTCTGCTCTTCTCTGCTCCACTCTACTCACTACCATAGTCTACTCGTGTCGTATACTGTAGTACAAAAAAGTAGTATACGACTGGTGGGTTCCCACCCAAAGGATTGTGGGACTGAGTGACTAGGGTCGTGGCGGTTTTGACGCCTGTAGTAGCCCAAACCCTAAACCCTAAGTACACCCGAAGCCCTAAACGCCGAAAAAGGCCCTGCACCCTAAACCCAAAATTCTGAAACCCTAAAGCCTAAGCCGAAGCCCTAAACTCTGAAACCCTAAACGCAACCTTAAAGCCGAAGCCGTAACCCTAAACCCTAAACCCTAAGCCCTAAATTCCCATACCCACCCTTTTTCTTAGGGTGCCTGGACCCAGAAGACATCCGGCAGTGATTGACACCGTTTCATGGGATGGACAACGGGTGGAGCCGTTGGAGAGTGGTCAAACTCAGCCCCGGTGGCGCCCATATTTTGACAGAAGGATTCTCAAGAGATTTAAAAAAACGCGACGACGAAAGCCGTACGCCGATTCCCTTTGGCTCTCTCACAAAAGTGGCCCGGCAGGTCACGGGGGCTCCAGGCCGGTCCTAGGGCGGCAGAGCCCCTTGGCCGCCCCTAACCCTTCTGGCCCCCTGGCCTTCTCGGCCCCTTTTGCCGAGGACTCGCCATCAAAGGGAGCAGGAGGCGACCAGGGCAGAGGTGGGAATTGAGGGCGTAAGCCCTAAACCCTAAAAGGTAATATTTTGGGTGGTAGCCTGTGTGAGCTCAGAGTGGGTGGGAAAAGAAACAGAAACCAATTTGTAATTGTTTGGTGGTGGAATCGCATTCCAATGCTATAATTACGTAGATATGCCGCCCCCCCACACCCTTGGGAGTGTTGAGGCGGCATCCTACATAGAAAATACTGCCGATGAAGGGCGAGACACCCTAAACCCTAAGCCCTAAGCCCTAAACCCTAAAAACCCTACGCCACCGGCGATTTGGGGGCCTAGGCCTGGCGCGCTTGCACGCCGTCCCCCCCTCGCTGCGTTGCCGACCGCGAGGCCGGTTTCTTGAGCTTCCCCGAAGTGTAGTGTAGTGTAGTATATAATATATGGTATATAGTATAATATATGGTCTATAGTATAATATATGGTATATAGTATCATATATGGTATATTACGGTATATAGTATAATTAAAAGTATAGTGTAGTATAGTATACAGTATCGTGAATTCGAGATAGTATAGTATCATGGTATAGTATAGTCTGGTGTAGTGTCGGGCAGAATCGTGTAGATTATGGTATAGTATAGAATAGCATCGTGCACAAAGGATCATGGGACCTTTGTAACTGGGGTTGTAAATAAGGTTATTTCATGCGGTAGTGCCCAATTAAATTGTGCTAACCTGAGTCTGCAAGTAGCCTCAGGCAAGCAGCGCGTCTGCCCCGCCTGGCGTGGCTTTCTGGATGACGGACTCGCTGGCAAGGCCACCACTTCGCCCTCTTTTGCTGTTGTGTCGGTGTACTTAGCCGCGGATAGGATGGTTTTATATAGCTTCGTCCCGTATAGTGTCGCATAGCACAGCATGGCATAGCTTAGTATGGAACAGCACAGTATAGAGGATAGCAAACAAAAGTATAGTACCTGTTTTTGAAAGGATAGTATCTCATAGAACATTACTTCTCCTCATAGAATATCACTTCTCCGTCGGAGGCCCTGGCAAAAGATCCACCTGGCTTGCCGGAGGCCCGAGGCAGACTGTGAGACGTGAATCTTCTGCACTCGTCCATCATCGTGCCCAGCATCTAAAGCCTCTGGCGGAAAGGAAGTGATCAAAGAAAACGAAAGCTCTAAACTCCTAAGCTCTAAACCCAAACCCTTAAGCCCGAAACTTAACCCGAAAGCCTAAGCCCGAAGCCCTGAACCCTGAACCCGAAACACTGGCGTGACAAGGATCCGGCACGATCACTCCTACTCCTGAAAGTTGAGATGCCATGCCTCACTTCAAAATTTTCTAACATAATATGCTATGACATATATACTACGCTGTACTATACGATAATATGATGTTATACTATATCACACTATACTGTACTATGTTATGCCGTACTATACCTATGCTAGACCATGACATGGAGCTGACGCGCAGGCACCGGATGCGGCCATGCTTTCGGCTTGCGTTGAGGTTCGCGGCTCAGGCAACTACCGAGAGCCGTAATAGCTAGGAATTCTTCAGCGCATTGTACTGGTAGTTATGGAAAAGAGACACCAGAGACTCCAGCACCCTACCTATATTTCGATGAAAGCGTCCGGAGTGGATGCGAGGGCACTTGCGTTGTTTTGGTTGAGCTCAGTAAGGCACCTTACAACCCAATGCTGGCCATGCTGGCTCGATAATTACACAGCTGCTTACATGCTGCTTCTCTTCGCCCGGGACGAGCATGATGACCAGGACCAGTACGTAGTAGTCGCAGTCGTAGCCATCGTCGTGGTAGTGGTGGTCGTGGTCGTAGTCGCAGTCGCAGTTGTAGTCATGGTCGCAGTCGTGGTGCTAGTACTAGTAGTGGTAGTTGTGGTCGTGTAGCAGTAGCAGTAGCCACAGCACCAGTAGTGGTAGTCGTGGTAGTCGAGGTCATATGAGTGGTCATAGTGGTAGTGGTAGTAGTAGTAGTAGTAGTAGTAGTAGTAGTAGTAGTAGTAGTAGTAGTAGTAGTAGTAGTAGTAGTAGTAGTAGTAGTAGTAGTAATAGTAGTAGTAGTAGCAGGAGCAGGAGTAGTAGTAGTAGTAGTAGTAGTAGTAGTAGTAGTAGTAGTAGTAATAATAGTAGTAGTAGTAGTAGCAGCAGCAGCAGGAGTAGTAGTACTGTTGATGATAAAAATCCTGCATTACCTTAAGGACCCTAAACTATGGGAATTATGGTATACTCCTTACTCTGGGTAATGCAGGATTTATATCATCAACCGTAGTAGTAGTAGTAGTAGTAGTAGTAGTAGTAGTAGTAGTAGTAGTAGTAGTAGTAGTAGTAGTAGTAGTAGTAGTAGTAGTAGTAATAGTAGATGTGGGAGGTCGGACGCGGACTGAGAATGTCAGTTGCAGTGGCAGCAGCAGCACTTCTAGGAGTCTGATTCCCCATTCGCCGACCATGTTCTACCCGTTTGCCGAGGACTTACGGGAGGTGGTGCGGCTACTGAAAGCCCATCCTGCAAGCGCCGAAAGCTCAGTCTCGAGCAAAGAGGTTTCTAGTTCTTTCGGTTCAGGTTTTTCTGGTGTAGGGGACATCGAGATTCACTATCATCTCACGGAGACTGCAGCTGTTGCGCATTTATGGCGGTGAGATGCATTCCTCGAAGGCCAAGCCGCTTCTTCTGGGCGTCCGCCTTGCCGGGAAGGACCCCACCGGGTTCGCGACTTCGGTTGCTGAAAGCGCAAGGTTGGAGTTGCGAGGGAGCTCCAGCCTGCTTGCGAGGGTTCTTCGAAAATACGGGACCCTAATATAGTACCCTAAACAGTAGGATCCTTGTCATAGCAACCGGAAATAATGTACCCCTAATTCTTCGATGTTCCTCTTCAGGGAGCCTTTCCACAGCAGAACTCAGGAGTCCCCAGTGGTGGGCAAGCTCCCTCCTACACAGGCCGGTGTGATTCCGCGTGCAGCTTTTCATCCCGCATGCACGGCCTCGTCAAGTCTTCAGTTCAGACCCAAATCCGAGCCCTAAACCCTAAACCCTAAACCCCTAACCCCTAGCCCCCAAACCCCCAAACCCCCAAACCCCCAAACCCCCAAACCCAACTCTGGCTTTGCTTCAGGTTCTCGATGGCATCGCCCAGCTCTTGGGCCCGCAGCCTTGCAATCGAACGCTCCTGGCCGGGGCGCCCCAGGGTTTTTTCTTCGGCTTGAGGGTCTTTAAGGATTACAGTAGGAGCCCAAAAGTTGGAAACCCAATAGACTCAAACCTTAAGAGTAATGAATATAGGGAATCCCAGCACTATTTGTCCTTAATCCGGTTTCCAACTTTTTGGGGCGTACTATAAGGGTTTTGGGCCTATAGGGTTTAGGGGTTTAAGGCTCGAGTGGCTCAGAGCTTCTGACTTCGAGGCCTGGCAGAAGCTGCTTCTGAGGCAGCACCAGGAGTACTACGAGGCGCCCTCCCGCTCAAATCACAGGGTGGGTGCTGAAGCGGCTATGCTTTTTGGAGAACGCAGGAGCTTGTTGTTTTCGGCTTGGGAGGTACCTAAGGAGCCACCTTGTCTGCGGCAGGCAAGCTTCAGGCTCGATGACTTCTTCGACGAGGAGTTGACAGCAACACTTGCTCTTCACAGGGGTGGCGGCTGGCTAGAGCCGGCAGTCAGTAGTTGCTCACTGCATGCTTTCGACCATGAGACTCCGCCATGTAGCAGCGAGCTTGGCTCTAGCCATGCATGTGTTTGCCACGAAGCTCAGAAAATCAGTTGACGAATAGCAGCCAAGCACTTGCAAGCCGGGGCTTGAAACACATAAACATAGTCGCAACCATTATCGCAGTAATTGTTGAGGGCGCCGTCAACCCTGCAACGAAGAAAGCACAAGGTAGAAGAAGCACCTCCAAACCCGGGATACATCTCAGCGTAGGCCACTTGCCAATCGGGAGTTGTTGGGTTCTCCGCTTATTGCGTTTGTGTTTGACGACGTTCCTAATTCCGGAGGCGTCTTTTATAGGTCTTCGGCTTTGACGTCACAACGCCCTGTGGGTGGTCACATCGGGGCTCGAAGAGGCCACTGTGGGCAGTGCTGCTCTCATGGTCGCTCGAAAGAAGGGCAAGGCCACCGCCCAAAGCAAGGGCGATGTGGTAATGACTCCCGCGGGCCAGGACCGCATCAGTGAGAGAGCCTCCCAGCCTTTTCCAGTGCTGACGTGGTCATGGTGGCCTGCTCTAGACTTCGAACTATACGAGGATGCAAAAGTCAAGAAGACAATCAACAAGAGCGTCTCAGCTGAAGTTGGCCACACCACTCGCTCTGAAGTTGCAATGGTGGATCCAACAAGTCGGAGATGCTCCCACCAGTTTTCCAACAAGCAGTTTCCAATCAGAAATCCCTGCATGACTCCTGGCTTCCGTCTTGTCTGTTGGCTTCCTTCGAAACCCCTTTGAAGTCCTCGGACCAATGAAATCAGGCCGCCGGCGTAAGGCGACGGTGGCTCAAGCCAAGGCGGCGCCTGAATCAAGGCAAGCGGCAAGCAGCGGCAAGCATGCAGTGAGTGTAACTAGCGTCAGTTGGGGGATCGAGAAAGCTACTGCAGCTCCCCTTGATACGGAGTTCCAAGCCACCCAGTGGCAAGCGCACGTTTTTCCTGACTTGCACCGGAGGAAGCAGCGGCGCCGCGCCGCTGCATTGGTGTTTTGTGGTGCAGCTGCTTACATATGGTTGATGATACAAATCCTGCAGTACCCACAGTAAGGAGTATACCATAATTCCCATAGTTTAGGGTCCTTGAGGTAATGCAGGATTTATATCATCAACACTATGAGAAGGTTAGGATCTTTTGCTTCAATGGGCACAGCACTGCAACCCGCATCCCCGATACCGAACTCAACTGCCAAGAAGGAGGGGCCAGTACACTGCTTGCCGTTATCAGGAACGTGCTTCGTCCCAACAAGAGCCAGTGTAGGGCAGTAGCACTAGAGACCATAAGTTGACCATAAGTAATGGGATCCTGAGTACAAGAACTGGTGTGGCTGTTGAGCTGCCATGTCTGCCCGTTAAGGAAAAAGGCTGGCCTCTTCAGCCGTTTCAGGCGGGCCTGTGGGCATTCATGCAGTAGACCGGAAAGTGTAGCAGTGCAACTTATGAGCCGAGCGTCCGAGCGTCCGAGCGTTGCACAAGGCAGGAGTCAGGAGCGCCAGGATGTTGTTGACCAGAGCCCTGAGTTCTCCGTCAGCCTGCCTTGAAGTTGGTAGCGCGGAAGTCTTGACCGCCTGAGCTTGAAAGCTTCGTGCTGCCGAAGGCGGCGAAGGCGAAGAGGAGACTTGAGAATCGCTCCAAACTAGTCGCGTGCAGATGTCGGTACGCATGTGTTGGGGTATGGCAGTGAAGGGCCGGGGGGTGAGGGGGAGTGTGGTGGGCGAAGGGGGGAGTGCGGGCTGCCTTCTTTGTCGCAGGATCTGCGAAAGCGACAGGCAGAAGAGTGGAAGTCAATGAAGGCTCGCACAGTGTAAACTCAGGCTAACAGGCGAGGGGGTGGCAAGATGTTGTAGGAGAGTCATGACATGAATCATGTGTGGGTACTGGATATGTCAGCTATGGGGAACTTGGATTTTGAAGCAATGCTGATGTCGCTTGGTTATATAGAAAATTGGCAGTACCTTACCACGATCATGCTTTAATAAATCATCCATGCAGCACTATGCAATTCCTGCATCAGCTGCGTCACATGGTTCACCGTGACCTGCTCCTCATGCTCCTCCTCCCGATCCTCCTCCTCTTCCTCCTCCTCCTCCTCATCCTCCTCCTCTTCCTCGTCATCGTCAGACCATCACCAAAACCATCGCCGTCGCCATAGCCACCATGACCTTCACCATTACCATAATCACCCTGATCCTCATCTCCTCATCCTTATCCTCCTCCTCGTCCTCTTCCTCTTCCTCTCCTCCTCATCATCATTATCATCATGATCATCATCGCAATCGCCTTGGCCATTGCCATCGCCGTCGCCATGTTTGGGACCTATCACGGTTGTGCCGGGATGCAGGATTCAACTGGGGGAGATGTCAGGCTTCCTCTGCTGCAATCCGAAAGCCACGAGTCGCGAGAGCTCCTTGGAACCCGGACGACAGCTCCACAGGCGAAAGTGGCAGCTCTCAAGAAGGATCGGCAGAAGCTGCCCACGCGAGGCCCACACCCCTGCTCTGCTCTGCTCTGCTCTTCTTCTTGTGAGGGTCAGCCATGACTATGAATACAGTCAAAAGAAGACGCCCCTTGAAAAATGGGGGGGGCTCCCTGAGGCAGCAAGGAGAAGCGGCAGGCCTTGAACCAGGACATCCGCCGGCTGCAGGAAGACATGCAGGCGGCTTTTCCTTGAAGGTTCCCGGGAACCTGGCTAAGGAAGGGCTCCATTTGCTTCGGGTCACAGCGTCCGGCATAACTTATAGCCGAGCCGTGAAGCACGCCTTGCGCAGGCGAGGCATCTGGCGGAGCTCCGTGCTGCGGGTCTCGAAGCGACCACGAAGGTGCTCGGTGGGAGCTCTTCCGGAATCGTGATGTGTTAGATGTCGGATTCGTGCAGTCATTAACATAGGCTCTAAACTCGTAAACGCACGAGGCCCAAGCTATCCTCGTGCTGTAGGATGGTGGCAGGTCGCGGTCTCCTAGTCATGTCCCCGGCCCGAGCACGTCCGCTGCAGGAAGACATGGAGCTCTGAGTACTGCCAAAGTGCGGCAACGAGCCCCTGGGGGGAGCCCTTGCCACATAACACCGGCGAGCGGCGAGACGAAAGAAAAGCGTTGCCAGTGCTCGTCAGTGCTCACATGCCTTGGTTGTCTGCACCGCGAATCCAAACCTTGGGCAGGAGTTGTTGAATCTCGACGAGGACGAGGATGCTGAGAGTGCAGAGGCCGGGTGTAAGGCAGACCTAGGCCCAGGCCGCCGCAGGAAAGGAATGCTGAAGATGAAGACAAATCATGTTGAAACATCAGAAAAACATGGTAAAATGGGAGGGGAGCTATTCCGTGTTCCGACTGTCCTCGTTGACGCGGCTGCCGTTAGGCGAAGCTCATTCGCGAAGAACTCGAAGGCCACTTTTCCTCTGGCATCGGAATCTTCCGCCTTGTTCTGCTGATTGATGCCTTGCAGGTCTGAATCTAAGCGAGCTCTTCGCCGATGTCGATGAGGTTGTGTCCTACCCATCCCAGTGTGTCTCGATCTGGTAGACGCATGGGCACCTTCACGTCAGGCCACGATGGGATCCCATCCCGGCCCGGTCCTTTGCTGATCCGATCCAGCTTGGCTTTAGCTTGTGTGTGATCTTCTTTCATCTGCGATTCGGCGAACTGTGAAGCGAGCTCGGCTGGCATCCAGGCGCGTGGGGCGATAATGAGACAATGACGACTCCTTTCACGTGGGATTATCCGGAAGAGTCCTCACTGCCGGACCGCCGGAGCGGAGCCCAAGCACGCATTGTAAGGTGCCCTGATAAAGAGACGAACAACTCACTTCTTCGGAGGATCCCTACATGGAGCAAGCTCTACCTGAAGGCCGAGCAGATTCCACGAAAGCTTCATACACTGCTGGAAGGTTTAGGGTTCAGGTTCCGTAAGTAAACCCTAAACAACAGCCTTTCTTTTAGAGGTCATGGTCTAACCTGGCAATCGGATTAGGAAAAAGGGTTGCTTTGAGAGTGCTATGAAGGCCCCTACGCGGCCTACATTATGCCCTGACAAGCTGATCGTCCAAAAGTATTTGACCCTCATAGTAACCCTTACAAGAACCCTGCGAAGGATCCCTATTTGTAGCTTGCTTGTCAGAGTGTTTTTCAAACTCTGTTTAGTCCTACTACTGCTGTTCCTCGGTTCCCCTCTTTGCTGTTGTTCTTGTAGCTCAAGCATGCAGTCCTGGTCTTTGCCTTTCTGGCGCCTGCCAGAAGCATTGTAGTGCGATTGCTAGAACTAAGTTTCTTCTCGACTACAGCTCGCCGACTAACACATCATGTTCACGAGGTTGGCATCGTCGTGTCACTCCGTGAATATTTAAATTGCTGTTGTGTTTGGCTTGTGACTTACCTGTCTCATGTTTCGTACTATTACCACAACTTCATCACTATCTTGCCATCAGCATCGGTATAGTCAGTGCATGGTCATCCTCGTTGTCCTTGCCAGCATGAGTGTGTCATGTCAAAGTCATCTCCGTCATCATTAGCAGTGTCATACTCGGTTTCGCTCACAGAGACGGTACACATGACTATCACTATCTTGGCATTTTTTCTGTGCTCGTTTTTCACCATCGTACCTCAGTTCCAGACTTCATCAGCAGGAGGGTCAAAAGAGCCACGCCTCCGTCGATGAAGTTCGCGCTTTTGCAGGACGTCATGTCTGCTGTGGACACAGGACTGCGACCGCAGCACTGCTGTGTGCGAACAGCGGGGGCCTCTCTGCGGGCGTTTCAGTGCCAGATGGCTGCAGGGTTTGGTTTTGGATGTCCGGTCGCAAATGACGTGAAAACAAGTCTGCATAATCTGATCAGATGCAGCCATTGGATTGCAGTCTCAGTAACAGCAATCGCATGAACATGAACAGACGGCAGCGATACAGCTTTTGCAGATCCTTGGTTTTGTTGTGCTGCTGCGGTGTTTAGCAATTTTTCTGAGTCACAAAGTTTTGACTGGACAGCTGCGTGTTGTGCGCAGAAACTCCTGGCTGATTTTTCAAGAACGGCGTAGTATTTTGCCAAGAGATGAGAGAGCATGACAAGCATTCAGCCATGCTGGATTGGGCTGTGCTCGTCTATGCTAATCTTGCTGGTGACAGGTACTGTTCCGCCTCTCGGCGAACCTGTTGACGAGCTGAAGACTTTGATTGTAACGTGCGCTTGGGCCAGCCACGGTCCAAATGTAGAGATGAAGCCAATCTCCGGGCATCATTGCTCGTCTCGAGTAGCTCCCAGAACCTCAACGCTGGAAGTAGGTATGCGACGGAGCATGTTCACAGCTTCGCCCAGTACTCACTGCCTTTGAATGCACCTCGCCAGCAGTTCTTGAAGTTCGGTGTACCAGTGGATGTTGGCTCTGTCTTACAGGCAGAACTGCTGCAAAGGCAAACTGGGCGCGCGAGTTCGGCCACTCTTTCGTCGTCGATGCACGTGCGCGCGCGTCCGGAGGCCGGCCGTGCCCCGGGGTGCACTGGGCGGACTCGGGTTCTGGCCTGGCCGTTGCGAAGAGGCGTTGACGTCAAGAACTCGAAGGTCCTTGTGAAGAAGCACTGGGTCGACCACCCCAAGGTGACTGCAGGAGGCCCAGGTCAAGGAGGGTCTCGAAACTTCGGCTCCGGCCATATGGTCGCCTACTTTTCAGGGTTGAAGCACCTTCCGGGGAAGCAGCGACTTCCAGATGAGGCCATGCCTTAAAAAACAAAGCCGTCCACCCTATCCTGGACTCAGGAAGGGTGGGTTCTTTGGATCGGAGCCGATGCCGTCCTGGTGAACTTCGACACTGACATCTTGAGGCTCCAGGGGGCCCTGAAGCTTCGCGCCCGTTTGTGGAGGACCCATATATGGATAGGGCAAAAGTAGCCCCTCCTCCCATCCATGTGGCCCCTGAACGAGAACATGAAGTTCAAGGCGGGGGAGAAGGAAAGACTGCTTTGCATCGTCAGGCAGACGATTCGCCTCCACGCGACCCCAAACACGCAGGCCGAAGCTCCTCTTCCATGCACAGGGGTGGAAGCGTTCAGGTTGACGAGTCGAAGTTGAAGGTGCTGTAGCAAGATGTAGAGGCTGATCCGATGCACATTTCCGTCCCTGGACTCTTGCCCCCAAGATGGCAGGTTATCATCACTCGGGATCCACATGGGAGAGCGGGCGACTCCATGTCTCTCTTCAACGCTGATGTCATCCTCATTCGCAGGCAAGGCCAAAGAAGCGTCAACACAACTTACGAGCTTGGAAGATGCCTGTGCCAGGTCTCCGTGGAGCTCGCAGTTTCTGCAGCGGTGGTGGGACGACGCACGCATGAAAGAGGGCCGTACTGACCAGGAGGTGCTCGAACTCCTCTACGTCGAGGCGGCGTGTCATGGATCTGTCTGCCGCAGAGTTACAAGCTGGTTGTGCGCAAGGGCTGTTTGTTGGTACTGGGCCTGTGCGTCGCAATGCTTCCTGCCGGTTACAACTCTGCACATTGCTGCTCCGATTCGATGCAGATAACCTGATTTGTGAAAGCTGTCCGGAGGATGTACTTGGAGCTCGAAATGCCTTCGTCCTCCTACCACCCGGAGCACTGAATTCTGCTGCTCGCCTAGAAATGTGAGATCTTGTGGTTCAGACATGCAGGCATTGCACTCCTGCAAGATGTAAGAACTGGCGTGATCTGCATCCTCTCGCGTGTTGAGGGTTCGAGCGTGGATGCCGCGGCACTGGCAGCTATGCCAAGCTCAGGCTAAGCTAAGTATTGCACGTGCAGGACTCTCTTTCCATCATCGCTGGACCTCCCAGCGACCAGCCCGTGGTGCATCTTGGAGGCGTCTCTCCTTGAGTACACGTATTATCGTACTAGTATTACATGCTGCCAGTAACAGCCTTCAAGTTGGAACATCATTATCCTCATGCCCTGAGGGTAAAGTATGGCGAATCCTAGCACTCGTCATCCTAAATCCACGTTCCCACTGTCTGGGGTTTATGATAAGAGTTAGATGATATATTGGTATATTGTGACATTATTTATTTGCACTGCTTTTGGAATTGAAGCTTGGACCCGGCTTCTTTTCGTCGCTTCGCAGGCCACGGCGACGCCGTGCGGCAGCATGTTTTCAGCGAGGGCCTGCGGGTATTGTGCCAGGCCCTGGTTTGCTCCCGGCTTTTTCTCTTGCGGCTTCTGAGGTCGGCCAGTATTTTTGTAGCCCGGTAGTTAGATCCCGGTGGTCAAAGAGTGACGAATTCGAATCCTATCCGTTTTTGCTTAGAATTATGACAATAATTTTCAATAATTTCCGAAATTATCGAAATTCCTAAAACTAATGAACTTTCAATATTTATTGAAAATGATTGAAGCAAAAGTCTTCAGGAGCAGTTGGCTTCTCAGAGCTTGGAGCTTCGGAGCACCTCGGATGGTTCTTATGGATCTTCGCTGCTTTATGATTCGGTGGATGATACAAATCCTGCATTACCTTAAGGACCCTAAACTATGGGAATTATGGTATACTCCTTACTATGGGTAATGCAGGATTTATATCATCAACCGTTGCGATTACGACGACTGCCACGTTTGTGTCCTACAGTATTGTGACTGTCGCAATCAGCCATACTTTTTGTTCTTGATGCTACTACTGTTAAACTGTAATCATCACAGGCCATGCAGGATTGCTTCCTACACTCCAAACCCGCGGCTCTTCGTCCCCTTTCCACCTGCAAGCCTCTAAGGTGCCTACGTGAAGGCCCTTTGGCAGGAAGTCCAGTCACCCGGTGAGGCTTGGGCAAGAAGAGCCTGAGGGTTTGGGGTAATAGTGATGTTCATAGTATTAATTAATACTAATAATAGCAACATCGGCAGTACGACTAATAATACCTAGCAATACAGATGTGTATACTGCCCATAACAATTTCAAAATGTAAAAGTAATAACAATAGAAACGATAGTACGTGTTTGAGGTTTAGGGGATTCAGAAACGGTGCTTCCAGAAGAAACACGCAGGGCCGCAGCTCTGGGCACGTGCACGCCTCGACGCTGGCCGGACATTTCCAGCGCTTGGCATGGCAGCTGGAGGAGAGAAACCCGCTCGCCGTGCAGTTTGGGAGCGGTGTCAAAAAGAGAGCTACAGGTAAAAATTACATGAAGAGATTAGCAAGCAGATCAATGAACTTTTAGGCCAGGTGTGTACATGTCTTAGTATGTAAATACATATATATATATGTATATGTATATGTATATCTTTATAGACATACACATACAGATATGCTTATGTGTACATACACATAACATGTTCTTTTGATATGACTATGAGGATTGTTCTGAACCCTAAGCCCCTAAACCCTCAAACCTAAACCCTTTTCTCTAAACCCTAAACCCTCATCTCTAAGCCCTAAATCCCTAAACCCCTAAACTTTAAACTCTCAAACCTAAACCCTAAAATCCTAAACCGCAAACCCTAAACCCTAAACCCTAAACCCCTAACCCCTAAACCCTAAACCGCAAACCCTAAACCCTAAACCCCTCAACCCTACACCCTAAACCCTAAAAGCCTAAAAGCCTAAACCCTGAACCCTGAACTGCAAACCCTAAACCCTAAACTCCTCAACCCCTAAGCCAATGGCCAAGCTTCAGGAGTTGCGCCGGCCCGAGGAGGCTCTGGCAGTGCAACGCCGGGCTCTGGCGGTGATGGAGCCGGGGTCCGAGCGATCATTTATTAAGGGTTTAGGTTGAGGGTTTTGGGTTTAGGGTTTTGGGTTTTGGGTTCAGGGCTTAGGGATTAAGGGTTTAGGGTTTAGGGTTCAGGGTTTAGGGTTGTTTAGGGTTTTGGGCTTAGGGTGTCATATAGCAGCATACGATATTCACATTGACAGTGTAATGTACTCAATGTAATGTAACATAGTATGACATAAAACAACAGAACATACTACCTAGTGATCAGCGTTATGGTTTATAGGCTTTGGGGTTTGGGAGTTCGGGTTTGGGGTTTGTGGCTTGGTGGGGCGAGGTTGGTCGTTGAGTTTGCCTAGGCCTAGGCATGTGACGGAGCCCGTTCGTGACCAAGATGGTGATGCTATCCTAAACAGCACTCTTTGATTATGCTTCCGGCCTGCGTACTGTGACAGTGACGGTTAGTCAGTGTGTTATGCCGGACCCCATGACCGAGTATGCAGGACAAGCTTCAGTGACTCAAAGGGGTAGCCCAGACAGTACCAGACCGTTCATTACCATCGTTAAGATGAGCACTTTGATTCTTGTCATTGCAACTGCTCGAACTATTCCCATGATTACTATGAGTTATAGGAAGAATATTGCTACAATGATTTCTATTACTCGCCTCGGTGTGCAGGCGACGGCTCGGATTACAACACCATCAGACACACGAAACGGCCCTGGCCGGTTCCTCGACGGGCGAGGTTGAGGTTAGGACTGCTTCTGCGGACCCTTGTGTGCTTGTGACGCGGTGCAACAGAGTTTCAACAAGCTTTGGGATTCCAACATTCCGGGCTCTGCTTCTTCTGCAATCCAGCCATACCTGCAACAGCTGGATCCTGCTCAACGTCACTGTCGTCCCCTCCCAAACTGTACATCCCAAACGAGCTTGAGCTCGGCCGCGCGCATGAAGCAGAGCCGAGAGACGCGGGCCCAGCAGCTTGCTTTGCAATCGCCTGCTACCGGGAGGGTTGAGCCTCCAGTCGGGCCTTGAACTGATGCCGACCAACAAGGCCAAGCCTTACCACCACGGCAGGTGTACTTGTTAAGGAGTATCCTTGAAAGAGGGGGCCTAGGGTGGGAAAAACTGAGCTGCGCTCCACACCCGAGCGAGCGACACCGCGTGGGCACCTGAACCCTAAACCCTAAACCCTTCTAAATCCAAAAGCTTAGACCTTCTCCCTAAACCCCTAAACCCCCAAACCCTAAACCTTAAACCCCTAAACCCCCAAACCCTAAACCTCTAAACCCCCAAACCCTAAACCTTAAATCCCAAACCTTACAGCCTCTATAGAGGCCGGCCGGTTCCCGGGGTGTGCTGAGCTGAGGCCTTGGGCGTGGCCTTGCGAGATCACGGACGCCTCGGTGAGGTGGCGGGGAGCTACGGTTTAAGGTTTAGGGTTTAGGGTTTAGGGTTTAAGGTTTAGGGTTAAGGGTTTAGGGTGAGTTTCAACTTCTTTGGCGTTTAGGCTTAGGGTTTAGGGTTTGGGGTTGGCTCCAGTATAGGCTTCGGGGTTAGGGTTTATATGGCTCCATCATAGGCTTCGGGTTTAGGCTTGAACTTAGGGTTTGGGGCGCATGTTTGATGGAACGTGCCGGGGAACCCGCTGGAAGGCAGAACCGCAGCTCCGGGCAGCCTGCCGGGGGATGGCGAGGCCCTACCGAGTTGGATGCAGGGTTGAGGGATTTTTTGAGGTCGCAGGAAGCATTGAGTAATTGAGTGTGATGCCGTTGCTTCGCCCTGCAGGATGTTTGGCAAGAAGCATCGCCACTTCCTGAGCTCCAGACGTTCGCGTGGTTTTTGGTTGAGCTGTCCTTATGCCTGTAGGTCTGGTGATGACCACTGTTCTTGCCGTAGCAAGTATCAACCCAAAGCAGCCTTCAGCGTCGAAAGCCCATACTCAGCCCTGAGCCCTGAACACGTCCTGCAAGCGGCCCTGAAGCCCAAGAGCCCCGGAATCCTGTTTGCTTATAAGAACTATTGGGCGGAATACTGGTTACTAGAGCAAATCCTCTAGTCCTGCTCCCTTATCAGACCTATGAGGGCATTAAGGGGCCCTGTGCCCAGAAAAGCCTCAGGTGACGTTTTCAGCTGCGCCTCGCAGCTGGGCCTGGCGCTGGTCGAGCAACGGCCCAAGGAAGCCGAGGTGCGCCAAGGGTTGGGTTATTACTACTATTACTACTATTATGAATTATTCAGAATAGTTTTGTTTAGTATTCTCATCATTATGAACAATATTACTGTTATTGTTAGTTTCAAATGTTCTTCTTACACTGATTCTTCTTCTTCTTTTTTAATTGTTACAGTTGCTAATAATATTGGTCTTCTTCTTGTTGTCATTATCAGCATTACTAGTAGTTAGTAATATTCCTATTGTTATTATTTCTGTTATTAGTCTTAGTAGTCTTACCATCATTATCTTTATAAGTACAAGGGCTTAACATCGGGGCCGTTGGAATTACTACGTATATGCTGTCTAAAGTGACATCGCTAATCAGCATGGCAGTAAAAGTACAGCTATACAAGGAAGCTCGGATTCGAAGCCAGGCTCGATATAGCAAGGATGTATGAGCGCGGCTCCCGTGTAAGCCGCGCTGACAACAGGCAGCCGCAGCCGTCACCCGTGGCAGTTGTGATAAGTTTCTGAACGCAAAGCTGCCGGTTTTGATGCTGTTGCAACAGCAATGCTGCTGGTAAGACTATCTATCATGGCCTTGTAAGTTACCGCAGTAGCAAAGAGGCCAAGCAGCCTCTGCAGAACATGTGGGGCCTCCTCGACTCGGTGCAGGCGCTCTTCCGTCGAGCCCACAAGGGGTACACGAAGGCGCGTCTTTGCTGTGTGTGACGACCCCGAAACCCAGAGAGGAGCCAGAAAGGCGTTGTTTTCTTTCAGGCTTTGGGCCCTGAGAGCACCGCCACCGCCACAGCCGCGCTGAATTTGGCCGAGAGCCGCAAGCGCTTGGGCAGACCGGATGAGGCCAGCCCGCCTTCGAAGTTCATGCTTTGGGCCATATTGCCATTACATGTCCGGGCTATCTCTGTTACGTGTTCCTCCCTTGTTGTACTTGTCTTGTATGGTGTTGTTATGATTCAGCGTCGCGCCAGACAATATACCACAATATGCCACGAAATGCCATATCATACTATAACGCGCTATACAACATTACCACATATTGTTATATACCACTGCATACTGAAACATACATTCATCTACTGTATAACCTGCTACAGATGTGGAAAAGTCCAGGCCGAGCCACTGCTTCGCGCGGCCACGTGGATGAAGTATATTTTAGGGTCCATGATAGTAGGTTAAAGTAGACTATAGTATATATTATAGTAAATTATGGCACTTGCTGGTATGGCACACGAGTAGCGTGTAATGCAGTGCATTACAGTCTGATATAGTATGCTGTAGTATTTTACAGTATGTTACAGTAACGTATATCACAGTATATTCTAGTACATATAGTTTATAGTATAGTTGGGTTTAGTATAGTATACTATAGTATATTATAGTATATTACAGAAAATATTATAGTATATTATGGTACTCTTTTATAGTTTATCATAGTATAGTATCTTAGGGTCAACTTGTGTAGCGGCGCGTGTGTGTTGTGCAGGTTGCAAGAAGGCCTGCAGGAAAGGTTCAAGTCTGCAAAGAGAACCCTAAACCCTAAACCCTGTTCGGCCCTTCGTCTCGAGTTCTAAGACTCTCCTTCCCGCCTTTCGAGGACCCCAAGCCCAGAGCCCCAACTGGGCGCGAAACCCTGAACCCTTATATAAACCCTAAACACTTAACTTTAAACGAACCTAGACCCTAAACCTGGAACCCTTAAAGCCTAGAATCTCCAAACCCTAAATTTCCTCAGGACCTGCTCTGTTCTCCTGTGAGTGCATGCTGCTTCCGAAAACCCCAAGCAACGATTGTTGCCAACTGTAAGCTGAGGTGCTCAAGGGTTGAGTTTTGGGGTCTAGGGATAAGGCGTTTACGGTTGGGGTTCTAGGGATTTAGGTGACTTATCCTGATCCTAAACTCGAGGCCCTAAGTAAGGTAGTATTTTATAGTATATGAAAGTATATCATCCTAAGCCCGAAGCTCCAAAGCCCGAAATCGCAGACCAACAGCCTGAATACATCCTACACCAGAAAAGCAGCAAACTCCCAAGCTTCACGTTTCAGCTATCATATGTATATGTAGTGCATATGCAAATGCTAACTCGTCGTTTTCATTAACTGCAAACGTTGCAGCGCTCATGCTCTCGGTGCTGCAAGACTATCGACTCTTCTCGTCATGTTTGGATAAACTGCCACTAATTAGAAGCTTACCTAGCGTTACCGGAGGTGCGAGCTCGACTAGAGAATGCTGGGGTGCTGAACCACAAACCCCAAGCGCCAAACCCTAAACCCTAAACTCTGTGACTGCAACGTGGCCCTCCTGGGTAAGAGAAATCGAAGCTCAAGAAAAATGTTAGGCCACAAGCCCGAAACCCTCAATCTTAAACCCTAATCCGTGGTCCTTACATCAGAAGCCCGAAGCCCTCACCCTAAACCCTAAACCTCACAAAGCCTAAACCCTAACCCTAAACCCCAAACCCTCAACACGGCAAAACGAGTTCAAAGCAAGCGCTCTTAAATCCTGCACCCGAAACCCTAAACCCTGAACCCCAACCCTAAACCCTAAGACACAAAATCTTAAACCTTGAAAACAAACCCTATGCCCTACCCTACCTCGACCCCTACCCTACCTAAACCCCTAAACCCTAAACCCGTAAACCCCTAAACCCCTAAACCCTAAACCCCTAAACCCCTAAACCCCTAAACCCCCAAGCCGAGGCTGCCAAGACCCGGCGCGAGGCGCTGGGCCCCGGCAGCGCGGAGGCCTGGGAAGCCGAGGCCCCCTCTGTGCGGTCTCTGTTTTTTTTCTCTTTTAAACTTAAAAACCACTGTTCTTGAAACAACCTATGAATTCGGATCCGATTTTGGGGTGTTTAGGATTTACGGTTAAGGGGTTTAGGGTTAAGGGCTTAGGGATTTAATTGGGGTTTAGGGGATAAGGGTTTAGGGGTTAAGGGTTTAGGGGTTTAGGGGTTTAGGGGTTTAGGCTTAAGGGTTTAGGGGTTTAGGGGTTTAGGATTTAGGGGTTTAGGATTTAGGGTTTAGGGTTTTGGTTTAGGGTAAGTTTAATTCGGATCCAAGGGTTTGAGGGTTAATGATGTACCTTATTGCACTATGTTATACTATGCTGTGCTCTTACTCTAGCATGCTACAAACTAGTATAGTAATTAGGATCTGAATTCGGGCCCCTTTTGGGGTACTCTTTGTCAGGGTTCTTGCAAAGGCACCCTATCTGTGGCTGAGGAGCCGAGGGTTTAAGGCTTTAGGGGTAATGACACCCTAATCCGTGAAAGATGATGCAAGACTCGGCACAGAATAGGGGCATGAGTCAGCATGGTGGGCACGGACAAGAGTCGATTATGGTCCTGGCCTCACCATGGTTTGAGGGAGAAGGATTAGGGCTTAGGGTGTCCAGAATCTCTGTTTTTGAATACTGTTACTGTAGTTAGCTGATGCTGCTGCTGCTGCAGTGGCACGATGGAGACGAATTTCATGTCGGGGTGTGCCTCCAATATTACCGCTATTAATGCAGGCATGTGGTCATTCGGCGCCATTGGTACAAACAAACTGTGCTGCTAGCGAGCCTTTGTCATCGTAGTATTCCAGTCCAGCTTGGCCTGGACATCATAGTAGTCCGTACCCACATGAAGACATGTGAAAGTAGTCGGTCGTATGGCCTTATCAGCGATAGTGACAAGAAGCATTGAGAGGTTCAGACTGACAGCCACATCACATTGGACCGCTGAACCATGGTAAACCTCCACACGCGCGGAATGAACCTTTGCATCATGAGACACCGTCTCCCAAACAATTCTTTCAGACCCTTGACACCAGTGAGGGTGCATTTGTATTTCGAATCTGTCGGCCCTCACTGCCAATGGGAAAGCAGCAAGTCGGAGTCGGAGTAGTCTGAATATGCACCGCTGCCCAGCGCGCGCTGGCATCGCTGCTTTTGGACCAGCGGAGGCCGGCTGAAGCCGAGGAGGTGCAACTGTTCACGGCGACTATGTGTGTCTCTGTGTGCGTGTGTGTGGGTGTGTGGGTGGGTGGGTGTGGTTGCCCGTTTTGCCAATTGGACGTGTTATGACCCCGTCCGAGGGGGCAAATTGCAGCGGGACCTTGTTCCACACCCAGAAACACGAAACACGATAGTTCCTTTGTTTGATTGCCAGCACTGAACATCTGGTAGAACCGTAGAACAGTGAAGTCGGAAAGTCTTTCCCAAGATTCGTCAACATTTATCGGGGCTCTGCACACAGGGGCCTGGCCCCGGCTGAACTATGCTGAATTGTGGCAGGATGCAAATTCTTGCAGCCACCTGCCAGGATGTGGTAGGTGAACGAACCCAAACCCTCTGCCAGCGCCTCCCTCCCCAACCCCCCGGCGAAAGAGCGTGCTTGGCAGGCTGTGGCATAATGCTGGATCTACTGGTAGTACATACAGTACCACCTGCAAATCGCGACGAATGTGTTGCATTTTCATTCACGGCTGTGCATGAAGCACTTCTCAGTTGCGTGTGCGTAGATGCTGCTGCTGTGCCGGTTGAAGGTAGTCGCTACTCTGAGATGAGAAATCCTTGGAGCTTCACAATAATGCAATCTGATGTGACCTGATCACCGTTAAGCCTCTGGCATCATCATAGCTCTCCGCACGTGCGGCAACCGTTCTAGCAGCTCTAGCACACAGCACAAGACCAAGGGTCGTTCTACATGTGTGCAAGGTCCAGACTACTAACAGCAACAACGATCAGAGACTTGAGCACTCAAGATATTGTTTACAAGAACAGTCCAGAGCAGCGTTAGCACGAACAAGGCATCTACATACACCGGCGCTGTGTGTGGAACATGCGCAAGTGACACGAGTTTGTTTGCTTTGCATCCTCCATGCTGGTTCTGTAAGATCCCAACTATTTTTTCTGTTATGTACCAAGACTTCAAGATCCCGGTTCCGCGTCTGGCGAGCTGGTTGGGTTTCAAGGTGCTTCGTCGAATCCTGGCCGCGCAGACTGCCGAGGCAGATGACATGCCGATGCGCTTAAGTGTACACACCATATATGCATGTTGTGCACAAAGCGCACGAAGTGCGGAAAATGGCACATCAGTGTGTTTGTGCCGCTTAATTTACAGAGGATAAACCAGCCGATGCGTGTGTGTGTGTGTGTGTGTGTGTGTGTGTGTGTGTGTGTGTGTGTGTGTGCTGTATGTAGGTTTACATCTATCTACCTATTCATCTTTCCATCGTCATTTAATCAATCTATCGACCTATCTATGCTCTGTTTATCCTATCCGTCTATCTGTATATGACTGTATATGTGTCTACCTATTCTATCAATTTTTCTATTTGTATGTACGTCTACCTGTCTATCAGGAAAGCAGTCTGTGAGTCTTTTTATCGGTCTATGCATCTGTCTATCGATCGATCGACCTATCTATCTATCCATCTTTCTCTCTCTCTGTCTATCTCTCCAGCTCTCCATCCATCTCTGTATCTCGCCATCTATCTCTCACTCACATGCCTGCGATCTTTCTGCAAACTGTATACACACACGTATCTATATGTGTATATATATATATATATATAGACATACATAGGATGCGTCCCTGTGCATGTACACACGCACAGATACGTATATATATATATATATGTGTGTGTATATACACATATTATGTTGCCATAAAATATGTTATCTACCTGTACATCTATACATATATATATATATATATGTATAAATATTCTCACACACACACTATGTATATATATATATATACATACATATATTTCGATATGGATAGATAGAGACATACCTGGACATCCGTTCTATCCATCCAAGCCGAGTTGACCCACGATATCGTTTGTGGAGGGCCTTGCAGACAACATCTCACTCCGTAGATGAAAAAGTTGCAAGCACTAACTGATGCATCCCAATGTTTTGGCTACATATTCAGTGATATAGCATTCGACTGTTTTCTGGACTGCCAACACATGCGTGATACTCGATCGATCAGACTGTGAGTCATGAACCTACTTCTTCCCGTGAGAATGCCACAATGCAGAATATTTTGGATCCTTGCGAGGCGGGTGGTAAACAGTGCACTTCGTGCGTGTACCTTTTTGGCACGTAGCCCGTAGAACATGGACTTTGCTGCTGCCTGCGCAGCAGCGAAGGCGGTTTGAATCAGCTAAAAGCTGACCGCGTGAGACACGTTGTTGGACCTGGTTTGTTGAACAGTCTCATGAAGCAGTCAGAAGACCTAGTAGCTGTTTGGATGTTCGATGTGCGGGTGAACGCGAGAAGTGTGCCTTCCGGCATTTAGAGGATTTCTATAGTTCGTTTCTGCGGCAGGCTGGGCGAGCTGCTTCTTTTGCATGGTCCTTCTTTCAATCACTTTGCAGTTCAGAAGCAGCAAGATGTTGTAAGAAATAGCGCACATGCTTGCATCGCCTCTTGACTGTGGCCGTGTACTTATAGCACAGGCATGCTAAAGTGTTTATGCGCTCGCGATTCATTGTAAATTCCAATACATTGGCGCTCCAAAAGGCTACCAGCATTTAGTCACAAACCGTCACGACTTGCCGCTATCACATGACATTCGACCAAGAAGAGTTGCAGCAAGGTGCTGAATTCACATGGCGCCGCATTAGCACGAGGTTGCGTCAAAATCCGATTGACAATTCAAAACATTACATTGCATGGCACTGCATCACGCTGGAGCATTTGCATTGAGTTGCATCGCACCGTGCTGTGTTGCATTGACTTGCACCGCACTTCACTGCATGATGCTGCTTGACCTCCCATGGTATGAAACTGGATCGCATAGTATATACTACATCGCATTGCAGTGCATTAGCGCTGTACTGCCTTGCATTGTGGTGCGTCTGGTTGCGCTGCGTTGCATGACATTGCATAGGACGGTTGTGTCGCAAAGCTTGCTGGACATGATATTGCATTGCATTGTCGTACACTGCATTCTGTTTCAGTACATCGCACTACGTTGCGTTACTTTGCAAAGCATCGCGTCACAATATGTCAAAATGATTTGCCTGTCCTTGCACTAAATTGCGCGATGCAGTGTGCTACCTTACATCATGCTGCGTTAGTCGGTTGGCCGGCGCTCCATTGCGTGACATTGAGGAGCGTTGCATGGTATTGCTCTGTATTGCATATCACATTGCATGACATTACACTGCATCATGTTTGAATAGCTTGCAGTACGTTGCATCACATTTCGCTTCATCGCAGTATAGATTGCATTGATGGTACTGCAGTGCAGGTGGTTCGTACGTACGGTACATGCCCATGTAATTATGCACACATCTATCTCCTTGTTTCTCTGTTTATGATTGTGTTTGTCTGCATTCACAGATCTAGGTGCATATCTATATACCTTTATATGCATATATGTATATACATGATGTGTTTGCCGAGAAATGCACACATACATATAGACAATGGACATGAACGGATGCAAGACAGATAGTTGAGAATCGCTCGAAAGATAGATTTGAGTTGTGCCTCGAGGCGCCAACCGTGTCGACTCAGAACTTACTGCAGGCCTCCGCTTCATTTCCTTGTGAAGCAAAGGTCAAGGTGATTAAAGCTTTCAACTAACCAGTATGCGACCTGCTGCAAAGGGGCGCAGCGACTTGGCTCACAGTTTACGTGTCCAGAACAAGGCCCGGAACCCGTTTCAGCTTTCACTTACAGATGATAACGTGAAGGCCGTGAAGGTGATTGTCCGTGGATGTCGTGAGTGTTATTTTGCAGGTGCTGTTGGTACTTGGATGTATGAGCACATCCCTTCATATGTCGGAACTGCGATTCCCAAGTTCGGAAGGTTCATGAGGCCGAGGTCAACTTCCGCTTGGTCTATGAGCGGGAGCCCGAAGTTGTTCTGCAAGTAGTGTTTCCGGCACAAATCCAACAGGCCTTGTCTAGCCTAGAGTCTAGAGCTTGCGACGGCAAAAATCTGGCTCTGAGGTCGCTTGCTCTGCGGGAAGGCGCCTTGCTGACACAACGCAGCCCCTACGACTTTGTCGTTAGAGCTCAGGGGCCAGCAGCCCCAATGCACTGGCGGCAGCGAGCAATCTCGCGCGCGGCTGGCTGAATTGACACGAGCCGTCGTTTGAGCCTACCCTTGAGCCAGAGACCGAATGCATGTTGCGCAAGCATGCTGCCACTCTTGGTTTTCCGCCGAATAGATTTCTTCCAGGCCGAAAAGTGCACGTGCAGCCATGCAACGCAGCCTTTAACTTTTATTCTTCCGGAATAGGTGACTATTGAAGCGGTACAGTTTTGGTGTATGTTTGTGTTTGCAGGCCTCGAAAACTCGCTTGTTGAGTGGCAGGTCGGTGCTTCATGAGGCTGGGCGGCGCCAGGAGGCACACATCAGTGAACGATCCCTTCACTCACATGGGTAGTTGTCAAAATTAGGGTCCCTGTTTGGGGTACCCTAAATAATAGGTGCTTTAGGGACCCTAGTTTTGACAACCACTCACATGCATGTGTGTTATCAGACCTTGAGCCCCGAAGCCCCGGAACTTTGGAGGCTACAGAGCTGTTCGAGCTTGCGACAGATGGCCTGAAGAGGACTCGCATCTTTCCGGTGCTCCAGGGCTGAAAGACCGTTCATGAACATCCACAGCTCTTCGGCTGCTGAAAGCGTTCGATGCGTCCTCAAGTGGGGTCAGGACGCTTGGAGCGGACCATCCAAACTACAAAGCTGCGCGTGCGAGCCCTGGCTGTCGTGCTGGTTTTCATCAGTTCGCCAAGCTCAGAAGCACATGAAAGGCTTTTTGGCAGGGCTTCGTGCACGATGGTCTGCATGTTCTGGAGGTGTGAGGATCTGGAATTCGAGAAACCTTGACTTTGCGACCTTCCCGCCGTACCTATAGCATTGAGCTCCTAGCATCCGCCAAATTGAGTCATCCCGGTCATATACTGTATGAATATGATATATTCGTCTATTCCGGTAAATGTCATGGCATTATACGACATTTTAGTACCTATTACAGTGTTGTGTAACATTATACCACCTATTACATTGGATTACATTTTTGTTATTTCGCATGAAAGGACAGTACATTGGATTATATCTCAATCTATCACATTATACTACAATATTGCATCATATGAAGTTATATTTCGTCATATTACATCTTACTTCATTGCGGTTTACTACATTACATTTTACTACATTACATTACCTTCTGTTCTATGCTATTCTGTTCTACTCTGTTATACTTAACAATACTTTACATCGTTTATTCTGTTCTTTTCTATTTACTCGACATGAACAGGCGTAGCAATTGCACGCTCTGGATGCTGTCCTTCCTGTCAGGTCAAAACTACGAAGATTTGAAGCGGAGTGCAGGCGCCGCAGTTTCATGCGCGAATCTCGCAGAGGCTTCAGGTGAACCCTCGACCCTGAACCTTCCAAAGCTTGACCGCGAGGAGGCAAGCTTGCTGCAGCCGAGCAGTGAGAGGAGCCGACTTCGAAGTTCTGAGGCCTGAATCTTAGGGCTACTTAGAAATAGTTTTTAATCTTTGGTTACTAGAATCCCAAAGAAACAGCTCAAATTATAATTTTTGCTAGGGTTCTAAGTTCAGTATAGGAGTTGCCTGCAGCTGAATGCTGAAACCCAGGGTTCACACTCGAGACGGGGGTTCCTTATGACAGTTATAGTATCATATACCCCCAAACCCTATTCTAATCATTAAGGCCCCTGCATTATAGCACCCTTATAGATCCCATACACTAACCCCTTATAGACCCCTTTAAAAAGGGAGCCCTACTCTAATTATTAGGGGCCCCTATGCTAGGTCCCTTGACGCCTTACGCAGGGCGATTCCGGAGATCGGTCTTAGCCGGTCGACTCGGCCGGGAGATCTTCGAGGCGATGAGGCTGAGGCCTGGCACAAAGGGGATGGCGGGGGGGGGGGGGGGGGGGGCAGTAACTTTGGGCTTATGGATAATTCGAGTCCTAAGCCCTAAACTGCCCTATACCCTAAACCTTAAACCTTAAGTGAGAGTTTGTAAAGCTACTATTTTAGGGTACTATATTAGGGTTCCCGATTTTCGGAAACTCCCATGTATCTACTACAGACACTACTGCGACCAAGACTATAGGGGCATATTCTGACCTGGTGGCTTTAGCATCTTCAGCTTGGCCCAGCTTGCGTCGGTCCGTCTCCGGTCTTCATCTCGGCACCCCATGGCGATCGCCAGCGATGTCGAGGACCAGCACTCCCCAGCAGGAGCTCCTCGAAGCGGCACCGTCGCGTGTGAGCCGCATGCGTTGGGCCGGCCTGGGCTTGGCGCTGCTCGTGACGTTCGTGGTGGGCATCCTTTTCGGCCGTGGGACGAAGCCCAAGCCTATGGAGCCCAGCGCCGCCGCCCTGCTGGGTGCCCTGGTGCAGAAGTCCGGGGTTGAAGACTTGGAGCATCACGTGCACAAGGCATTCCAAATTTACGACGTGGACAAGAGTGGCCACCTCTCCATGCAAGAGTTCGGCAAGCTCATGGATGATGCACGCGAGGAACTTGGAAGTGTTAGTATCTCCCATGAACAGCTGCAAGCTGTGTTCAACCAGGCGGACCACAACGGTTCGGGCAAAGTCGAGGTGGGTGAGATGAAAGACCTCCTTGCACCTGCTTTTGCGGAAATGAAGAGCTAGAGCTAAGATGCCAACACAGAAGCTGGCATCCGCCTGGGCTCGCACCGCCGCGGGCAAATGAATCGTTTCTTTCGGACTTCGAGACCTGCGCCTTGCAGAAAAAGTAGCTGGCTGCAGCTGGCTGTGAGCCAAGAGTTCAAGCAGTTCGCGATGCCCTCATATCGTGTCTTTTGGTGAGTGTTGCGACAGCGGCAGTGAGGAGACAGGATAATCAGCTAGGGTAGTTCTGGACCGTCTTGCTGTGTATATTGAGGCCCAGAAGTAGCTCTCATGCTTCCGGTCAAATCTCGATCTCAGGACGCGAGCCGGACCGTGCTGCACAGTGACAAGCTTCCTCGCCCTCGTGAGAGCCAAAGTTCGAGATGCCGGGTCCCAAGCGAGCATGCAAGAGTTGGCCATGAGGGTAATGCGTCTGCCGCTTGGGCAAGGTGCCTCGTCTCGCAAGCTTAAACAGCACCTTGTTGGCATCCAAGGGCCGTGGACACGGAGACTGCAGTCGCCCCTGGTGAGAAGCGGGCAAGTGCTGTGAGGTGTGAAGTGGATTTGCTCTTGCTGCCTGACTTGCATTCTCACTCATAGCAAGGTGCGGGAATGGGCTTAAGCCACTGGAGATGAGTTCCTTCATGCTTACCATCAAACCACACTTCGCTGAAGTCCTGAACCCTAAAATCGTGGACGCAGTGGACACACTGCAGACACTCGGGCAGGAACTACACAGCCCGCTTGCACGTTGACAAAAAAAACAATGGCCCGTCCTATCTATTTGCTCCGGGGGGCCTCCCAGCAGGGCGATCTCTGGCTGTATGACCCTGAAACCTCGGACGAGGAGTCAGTGACCTTGCAGCAGCGTGACGTGTAGTCAATCGGCCAGGTCAGCTCTCCCGTCACTTAGCATGCAATGCAGGGAAGGGCGTGCTGCTCCCATGTCAAAGTGGCGAGCCTGCATGTTGATTGCTGCTGTACTCCCTGCAAAAGGGTAGGAAATTCGAGTTGCGTGTAGCAAGCGCCTGGGCAGCTCTCAGAACTGCTCTGGACCAGCGTACCGAGTAGAAGGGAAAAAAGAGCTGGACGACAGTTGACAAGGCTTTGTTCGACACAGTATTGGATTCGGCAAAGGGCCTGACTAGAGACTTAGTAACTTGTACACGGTACAGGACCGCATGATCCGCCAGCGTTCTTGCATGGTCTGGCATGGGAGTGCCCTGCACCAACGTGATTGGCTTACAGAGTGCGCCGTGCGTGGGGGCCGAACGGTCCATGGAGCTTGACACCTCACAGCTCCTCACGCACGCGCCGCTTGCAAGAAGCCCGGCTGCAGAGGTGTTGGCAAGCATGTGCAGCAAGTTGATGGAATCTGATAGAAGGGACTGCAAGAGTGACTGTAATTGGCCAAAGGGCTATGGCCTTTTTGGTTTCCGCTTTGACAAGGAAAGCACCTGGATCGGTGACGATTCTGTCAGCCAGGCGGGAAAGCTACTCTCTCTCTGAGCCTCAACGCTCAACTCTAGACCCCATAAACCCTAGCGGAAATCAGGTGACCCTCCAGTCCATGAGTGGGCCGACACCGGAGTATGGCGCATGCTCCAAGCCCAATACGAAGGAAAAGGCCAGGAGTCAGGGCCACTTCTGGGGTTTCTTTAAGAGAACTTCTACAACTCTATACCAGTTGCTCTAGAGACTCTGCGGGCTTCTTCAAGGTTTCTGTAAGGGTTGCGCTTGATCTGGGGTTGCTCTAAAATCCTGCTTTGGCAACAAATGCCGGGCGTGCAGGATGTGGCCCCGCCTGGAGGAAGGCTGCGCGAGCCACAGAGCGGAGCGAGAGCTAAAGTGTCTGGCGGGTGCTGGCGCCGTAGCGCTTGGGTCGAGGATGGTGCATGGGCCCATCTTCGTGGAAAACCCGGATGGTTCCATCACAGAGGCCAGGAGCGTCTGAATTGTGTTCGAACGCAACGACCTTATCCAACAGCGTGACGAAAGCTATCACTTGTTCGAGCGCTGCTGGCGGGCAGGCTGTTCCTTCCGATGCCAAGCAAGCCAGGCAATCGTGTGTGAATCTGTCTGAATGGCAGAACTTGCCGTGCCATCCATCATTCAATCACATTGGATTGTTTCAGGCCGAAGGGAGATCGGGGCGACCGAGGACGACGCGAGCTTTGCTCCTAGAGTGCTGGTTGTGTGCGTGTGTGTGTGTACAGGAGGCGATGTCTAGGCAGCACTCGGAGACGTTGTCAGAATCTGCCTGCAGCGGCTGCACCATGTCTAAGACCCTGGGCACTTCCTGTGCTTGGCAGCCAGGTCCAATGATGGGGACAGTGACAGCCTTAGCGCACTTCTGTTTGGAAAAGGTCTGACAAGGCTATAGAACTTCCGCGTCACAGATTACAACCGAGATGCCTGCGAATGTGCAATGAAGCTACCCAGACCCCCAAACAGGGATCAAACCATCAGATGCCGTGCAACTGGACGCGCTAGTCCCTTCACACTTTTACACTTTGATTTTTCTTGCAACTCTCACAGGTACCATGTTCCCTCATGTTACTCTGATGATAGTTCATACCATTGCTACAACCTTCTTACCACGAGAGCACCCAGGCGACAGCAGCGGAAGCGGCTCAAATGCCAATGGCATCAGCATGTCTCAGGAGGCAAAGACTGCCAACATAGCTCCTTACAGGCTTTTCTACGGACTTTCAGATTTTGTCTTACTGTCTGATCTGTATGGGTTGTACAGGATCATGTGCTTTTCGAATTGGGTTTTGCGGCTTTGCAGAATTGTAGACTCGGCTTTCAAACGGCGCTTTTTGGACTCAAGTCGTAGTTACGAAGTTAGCCGCCGGAGTCCACGGGCGACGAGCGGAGCGAGGTCGCAGGAGGCGACCTCGTCTCTTCTGCAGTTTTGCTCCGCGGCAGTTGCTGCCAGGTGGAGTTCCTGTACTCGCGACATGAGCGTGTGTTCATGCTGCTCCTGTTCATACAATTTGTTCTGGAGGCGCTGGAGATTGCATCAGTGGATTTGTGTGTAGACAGACACTTTGAGGAATTTGGTCGCTTTCCAAATCCGAATCTGATAGCATTTGAAACGAGTCACAGCTGTGTTGTCGTGGTGAGTGCTTCATTTGCTAGGTGTCGCTTTGCTGTGTAAGCTGGGCATAGTGATATGCGCATGTCCACGACCTGTATATACCTGTATCTCTTGTGAGGCTGTATCATGCTTCGGTAGAGATTCGTTATGTATTCCTTGGTCTGCCAGTGTTAGCCATTTTCTGAGGATGGGGAGCGCGAAGTCCAAAATCGAATCGTCACAATGTGCAGCTTTGCTCGAGTTGTTATCTTAGATGGTGGAGCCTCCGCCTTTCCACGCTTCACTACATTCAACCACCCTGGGTGACGCGCGAGACTACGCAGTACAACAATGTGCAGCCCCCTGCCTCCATCACGGTGTTTTCGCTATTTCATGTCTGGTGCACCATGCCGTAAACAGGCAGTCTTACCGATTGTGATACCGAAAATAGGGGACCCTAATCTAGTACCCCAAGAGTAGGATCCTTATCATGAGGACCCTAAAATGCGGTGCCCCTAATTTTCGGAAGCCCCCATATGCGACAAAGATGAGTAACTGTATGTGATAGCATTTTGTACTGCATTGTTGAACAAGTCTGCCACCTTGCGTTTCGTGATATGACGTAGGAACCTCGGGTGGAAGCTACATATCTCTACATGTACCTACGCAGCTGCATGATTCGCAGAACATGCATTATATTCATGCGCATGTAGAAAGATGTGCACAGCGATAAGTCGTATTCTATTTTGTTGTACTCTCAGCGTGCCAGTCGCTGTATGCAGCGGTCTTCGTCGTGCGGATGCGCCCGCCTGGGCCTCAAGGACGATAAGACCTGAGCCTGTAGCCGCAAATCGAAGATCTGACACTGGACCGCCAACTTCCAAGTCCTGCACGATCATTGGTGCTAATGCATGCCTGCAGCTTCCAGCTTCAAGAGAAGCCGTCTCTTGCCCTCTCAGGTCTATGTTTGAGTTGGAAGCCATGTACAACTGGGAGATCTCCCCCAAAACAGCAGAGGTTGGGTCCTTCTTGGCGTCCGTTGGCATCCGACTTCGTAGAGTCGCCGTTGTAGTTCTGGGACTCCAGGCCATCCTTTGGACGACCTTGGTGATCCAGGCCAGGTCGGATAGGATCGGCTCTGATTCCTTTGAATTCGGTGTCGCTGTGCTTTAACCCGAAGTGGAAGTAGATGCCGATCCTGGTGCTAATGACGGATTCGTAAACGACTCACAGGTCCTCTTTGGCATTGTTTACTACTGCATGGCAGTTTTATCCATTTGGACGAAGAGGCTGGGCATCCGCTGTGAACAGGGCTGCATGAGACCGGGGCAGACACTGTGATGGGCCTTCGTGAAAGCCTGCGGTACGTGTAATTCGCGACTCATTGCCCTCAGGCCGAAACACTTCCAGATGTTCGCCAAGACGTGCCTCTGTGGTGTCGTGCCCTCGGTGGTTCGTGATTGTAGGCTCAGGTGTATGCTGTGATGTGCTGGCAGCGGCCGCGTTGCAATGATCAGTGCGAAAACATGATGAGGGCATGCAGCTTGAGCTTGCCTTTGGTTGCTGCAGGTGGTTGGCTTGGTTCTTCTCGCCTACGCGGACAAGTTCAACCTTCCCATCTTCTTCCTCCGACTACTTGCATACATCTACGCAAGGCCAGGGAGAGAGGTGTCAGGGCCGGCCGAGTCCATGGGGTCGAAAACCTCTGTCTCGACCCACCTGGACCAGAGAATGTCTAAGTATTGATATTGGGGGCAGCTAAGGAGCCAGGGATGATGATAATCCCTATTAAAGAAGGAGCTAAAGAGCCAAGGGAACCCCTAAAACCACTGGTCAGATGTTCTCCCAACGTTCATTTTCTTCGCCTCCTCAGCGAGTTGAACGCGAGATTTCTCAAGACCAAAGCGGTGCTAATCTCAAAATCCAAATCCTCACTTCC